GACCTTAGAGCAGAAACGCGGCAGGTGTGCATTTTTGGGGTTGGCGAATAGGTCAATGGAGTGGGGCCCCAGCGACGCTCGAGGAGGCGAAACCATGGGAACTTCAACGAGTAGTCATTGTGGTCGACTAGCTTGGAGAGCTCGTCTGCGCGACCATTCAGATCGCGTGGGATCCATTCGATGATTAGCCGAATCTCGAACTCCATGGCATTTTTGGATGATGCTTTGCACGTGGTGGTGAGGTCGGGACTTCGGGAACCTCCTTTGCGAAAGGATGAAGAACACGCCCTAGTTGTCCACCCGCACTAGCACGTGTTTCTTCCGGATTCTAGGCGCGTACGTCTGTAGCGGGCCCACAGCACGCCGGCGAGCTCTCTTTGTGTGCTGGAAGTTGGATGAAGGGCTCCGGGCATTGCCGCGCTGGCCTCTATCGCGGCTCCAGGGAATGTGTTCAGCGTGGCACCCAGCTGTGGCATTGCGTCTACGTGGATGACTGCATCGTAGCTGTGCCGCACATGGAACGGGGCACCGTTGAAACGGTCGAACTCTTGGATCCAGAATCTCAGCTCTTCGATGGCGGGTGGGGAGAGGATGACCATGCTGGTCCATGTCGGCGCGTCGTTGATTGTTTCTAGCATGGGTGGCTGAACGCTCGGTGGTGGTGGCCGAGTGCGACAGCCATCGATGCCAGCATGCCTGTAACTCGGGCCAGTTGCCGGACTGGGACTTTCCGCTGAGCTGAGCTTGCGCGCAGTAGGGCATGGAGGGTGGCGTTGAGTGTGGCTCGCCGCTCCTCGCCGATGGAGAACCGGCCGGCCTGTGTGTCAAGTTCTACGCCAAGGAACCGAAGGTGCTGTGTTGGTATCAGCTTTGACTTTTTTGAGTTGAGTACGAGCCCGGCAGCCTTGAGATCGATAACGATCCGTTGGCACGTGGCTTGAGCGTGTGCCTGGGTCGGCACAGGAAGAGGATATCGTCCACGTAGGGTATCACGCGGACCCCCTGCTCCCGCCATCGCCGAGCTAATTGCTTGATGAGCTGCGTGAAGACGAATGGTGCTGTGGCGAGGCCGAACGGCAAGGATCGAAGGCGTTATGGTGCACCCGTCGAATTCAAAGCCGAGGAACGTCCAGCACGAGGGATGGATGTCGACATGGTGATAGCCTGATTTCAAGTCGATGGAGAACATCCAATCTCCTTGGCGGGCGAGGTCCGCTACGCGGTTGAGTCCCTCATATTTAAATTTGGGGACGATTATTGCGTCGTTCACCTTTCGGAGATCCAGAATCAGGCGACACTTGTCTTTCTGCTCGACCACGTTGAGTGGGCTTATGCATCTCAGTTTCGCCGCAGGAATTTGGATGGCCGCGCCGGGTCTCGGTGAGTTCAAGGATGGCCGTGCGCGTGAATGCTTCGTGGGTGCGTGCGCCGGCATGGTTGCGATCGTGAAAGGCCGGCGGCGGCCCGAGTTTCCATGGCATCCAGTATCCTTTGGCAATGACTGAGAGGATGAAACTGCTAGTGCACCACGAGCTCCACCAAGCGAACGTGGTACGTAGGCGGCCACGCATTTTGGGTGACCATCTTGTCAGTAACCGCGTATTCGTAGGGGTCACTGTTGTGAGCGCATTCGCGAAGTCTGGTGCCTGTGGGAGTGCCATCATGCAAGGCGAAGCAAGGGACGAAATACTTGAGTTCATCTGCAGGGCTGATGCCTGCCGGAAACCTAGAGCGTGGGGGGGGGGGGAGTGTGAAGCCTAGTGGCTGAGGAGGGCGTGCCGGGTTGAGGTGCCACATGCGAGCAAGATGCTTAGGTCGGTGGTTGCCTGCGCTTTGAGCGGGTCTGAGCGGCGTGACCTGCGTGTGTGTCGGTTTGCACGCCCGCGCATGCCGAGCTTGCGTTCGAACCTGAGCCCCGACGTTTGCTTCCCTTTGTGCCCTCGTATTCCCACAACTTGTGCCTTCACTCGCGCTTCTACTCGCGAACGCATGTTACCCTCTTATTGCCTCCTTCGCTTGCGTTCTCATTTCTTGGGTTTTGAGACTCAACGCCCGTGTTTTTTTTTTTTCTTTCTTTTCTTTCTTTTCTTTTATGTCTTTCTTCTAGCCACCTCTTGTGTGCTTGTGTGGCATGCGTGCGGTGTTTTGTTGCTGTTCCCGTTCGTGGGCCATACCGCGTGCGTGCGCGCATGCTTATGTGACTCGTTTTTTTTTTTTCTTTTTTCTTTTTTTTCCAATGCCAAGCTGGGCAGCCCTAGATGAGGCTGGCGTGGCTGTTCCTGTATGCCCACGGAGGGGTAATGCGTAGGGTCCAGGGTGTAGCACACCGGGTTGGAGGGTATGCGCCTTGTAAGGCTCGCATAATGCTTGAATTCTTTTTTTTTTTTTTTTTTTTGCATGTCCAATCGGGGAGCAACTCTGTGTGGGTAAGTGGCGGGCCATTGGTGTTCCTGATGGCCTTTCCTTCTCTGGCCGGGGGTGCTGCGTGACATGCAGCTGGGGTTGAGCCACCCACTATGCTTCCCCGTTCCGTGCTCAATCCCCCCCCCCCTTTTTTCTTTTTTTTTTGCTGCGCCTCTTATGGTGCTGCTCCCCCATTTCTCTGGTTATATTAGGGGAACCAAGACCTGAAAAAAAATGAAGGACCGCGGCTCCTTATTTTAACCAAGCTTCATCTCTACTCAACCATGCTCCTAGGCATGCAAAGTCCGCCTTGCAAGGTCGGGCTATCATTTGGGACCGAGGGGGTATGTTCCCCTTCCCTTGCTCTGAGCCTAGGGCCTTCGATTGGCCTACACTAGGGCTGGCCCTCTGCCACCCGTGCCCCTAAGGGGTGGGCCCAATGGCCTACGCACACACCGGGTGCCTTGCGCTGCGCACTTGCGCAAGCGCCCATGGCCCGACCCCTACACCACTGGTGCGGGTCCTTGGACACCATGCCCAATCGCCGGGCAGCCGCTGGCCACATGCCCCGGCTGGCCACAGCGGAAGCAAGTGCCTCGGAAGCCACGGAATTCTCCCGTAGGCGGCGGACCACGCTTTGGCACGAACGGCATGGGCATGCGGCCGCCTCCGCGATTTCCACGAGCAAACCCGCCCTCAGCGCGGTCCATTGCGGCCACGTCAGCGACGGCCTGCTTGAAAGGCCTTGAGGTAAGCAGACTCTTCTGCTGGTACAGCTTGAAACGCTTGGCCGTGCGGAAGTCGGAGGCGACTTCGACTTGGAGAACTTCGAAGCGTCGCGATATGAGGGCGAGAGCGTCGGCGAGGAATTCGAGGCCGCCTGGCGCGTCGCCGTGCTGCACCTTGAACTCGGCGTGCTTCAGGTATGCCCGAAGGTCCTCCAGGACTTCCGCTTGCTCGCGCACGGCCGCGTTGAGGAAAGACGCCGCCGAGAGGGTGGTGTTAGTGGACGGGAGTGGTGGGAGGTGCTCCATGGGAATTGAATTTGCAGCAGTGCCGGGGACCTCACCAGCGTCATTGTCGGAGTCGTCGCTGTCGTTGTCGGCCGCCGGGGCAGGCGGGATGCTGGCGACGGCGTCTTTGGCGAGGCGTGGCGTCTTGGTTCCGCGTGTGGCTTTTCTGTTTTTGCAGGTTCTTTTTTAGCAGATTCAGAAGCAGCAGGTTGAGCAGTTTACGGCGGCCGTAACACTCGTCGCCTGCTGCTGTAACAGCGTCAACAGCGCGTTGGACCTGCGCAGGGGTCAACGACGGGGTCAATGTCGGGTGGGCGGCACGTCAGACGAGGCAGCCGCGCGCCCCCTTTTTCGCTGGCGAGAAGGACCCGCCACTTGCGGGGCTGGCGCGTGCTGCTGCTCGGCGTCAGGCGCGAGTGGCTGGCTCTGCCCAGCCACTTGCGCGTGTGGCTCAGAAGGGGGCGGGGGCGCGTCAGCAGGGCTGATTGTTGACCTCGCCCCCGCCTCCCAGCAGAACGTCAACCCCAGTTGGGGCGGCCGCCCCTTCTTCTGCCCGACGCTTGTTGCGCCGGTCGCCCGCAATTTCCGGGGCTTGGCGAGTAGACTCGGAATTGGGGTGGCCGGTGACGACGTTGGACTCGCCGCGATTATTCGTAGTCGGAGCCATGACGGATCGGTGAAACTTAAAAATGTCGGAGAGAAGAGTCGAGGGAGACTCGCCGCGAGGCAAAGTTCTAGTCTTAGCCAGCTTGAACGGGAGAAAAGCTAGAGCGGGAAAGTTGACTGAGCCGTTTGAAAAATGAGAGACGTGGGTGGAGGTAAATGAGCTCCAACCCACGTATATGTAGTTGGAGAAGGGCGAGTAGCGCGCTTCGACGATGCCCAATGCTTTAGTACAATCAGCTTCGCTTTCACGATACACAATTTTTTAAAAACACTACGTGTGTTAAAAAATTATAATATTGTAACTTTGCCCTTCATAGCGTATTTTGTTAACCCTTGTACAAAAATTAAACTAAGGTGGCTCTATAGCCAAGGCTTTTCTCAGCCTGACCAATGTGTAGGTTGGGTAAAAGACATGCATTAGTAACCATAACAGAAAAACAGTCTCAGAACTGAGCTGCAAAGGTGAGGCCTGCACTATTGTGTTGTGTTCCATCCATACCCATAATGTATGGGAGCATAATGGGGAAAGAGCTTTTCATATAGAGAATGCTCAGTTGACATGCATTGTATAGTGTCCTTGTGTGACACCAGCAAGCGGGGACTGGTCAGGACCTATGAGCCATGGAAAGGGACAAAACCGTACAGTGCTTCATGTAACAGTTGTTGGCTCGCCCATCTCATGCCTGGTTTTGGCTGCTCGCTCAACGACGTTTCCTCCGTCACCGATTGGCTGCGACTCTGCGACAGCTGCAAACCATGCTGCCTGCAAAGGACTCGCGTGGCTCGCGATCAGATTCACGCGGCATTCAGGCGAGGCGAGTCAGGCGAGGCAACGCCTCCCTGAGGAAAAGTTCCTCCCTGCTCCCCCCTACCCTCTCCGTGCCTGTCTTCCATCATGCCAGCCACAACCATGCTTGCTCAACAAACTCGCACACACAGCCCACGCTCTCTGCTGCTGATCCCTTGCTCTCGCGTCTGGTGCTCTAGGTCGTTCTTGAGTCTGCTAGTTCCACCGAGTTCTGTTCGGTGTGTTGCCACGTGGAGATTAGTGAGCCAACTCCTGCCGTCAGTCTGCCTCAGGCTCGTTTCCTTGACCTCCCTCCGCGCTCACCTCCTTGGCTACTGTCGCTAGAATCTGTATTATGGCGGGCCGACTCTCGCACAAACCTCCAGCTCCACTCCAGGTAAGCTCCATCATCGCTGCTCCTTTTGTGTGAGTCGTTTTTCCTCCGTCTCCCTCCCCGCCTTCCTTGCTTTCCTATCGCTCCTTCACGTTCGTCCCGCCCTCCACGCCGTTTCCCACGCCAGACTCCGCCCTGGGCGGCGGGCCTGCGGGGAGGGGGAATGGAGGACGACGCGGAGCGACCGCGCGGAGTGCGCGCCTCCAGCGGTCGCGGGCTCCGCCGAGCTTCCACGGAGCGCGCAGCGACGATGGATTCGCTGCCGTCAGTCCTGCCGGTGGGTGCGGGCAATGCGGAGGAGCAGCGGTCTCCCAACGACTCGCAGGCAGCGTGGCCAGCAGCTGATTTTATTTCCGGCCCTTTTGACGGCAACGCGGCAGTAGAGCCGGTGAGCCGTCAGCGTGGCCCGTCCGGCGTGCCGCGGTGCTTGAGCTTCGACGGGTACCAGTCGCGCACGGCGGAGTCCACGTGGGCGAGCTCCGCCTGGGGGAGGGCGTATCTGGAGCGAGGCAGCCCGCGGATGCCCCGCGGGCATCGTGCCGTGCGCGGGAGTTTGAGCGCAGGCGCGGGGGGTTTGGGCAGTCTGCAGCGGGTAGAGTCGGGCAAGGTGGCGACGACGATTGTCCAGATCTGAGACGCCCCGCCGTGTGATGCGGGTCACGACTCAACTAACCGACGCGGCGCCACCGCAGCCGCCCTGAACCTGAATATAGGTGACTTTTGAGTCGACTCAAAAGCCGCCCTGAACCTGAATGTAGCTTGCGCGTCCGCGCTGCCTCCGCGGAAGGCTCCGCGCGTCTGACGCCTGCTGCTTGCGCCAACCTCATTTTTCCGCTATGGAGGCTCGGCGTGCTCCATTGCCCGACTGCTCTCCTTTCCATCTATTTTTCTAGAACTGCAAGGAAATGTATGCCTTTGCATGCTCAGTCATTATAATTGTTTGTTAGGTTACTTATACTTGTATGGTTCCATTGAACACTATGCTCCAGCAATACTATATCATGTATGTTGGATCCATCTTTGCCTCACATGCTGACGCTTTCCGCCCCCATCAAACGATTTCACATTTCGCGGTGTGGAGCATTCGTCATGCCGCCGCTTCCGTCGCCGCCAGATTCGGCGAAGCCTGTCGAGAATCCCTCAGCGGCGCATGCTTCCGACCTCACTGACCCCGCCTCCGCTCTCCCGCCGACTCTCCCGCTCCCCCGAAGCTCCTCCTGCGGCGAGTTCCAATCCGCCCGCCATGCCGCATTCCTCCTCCGCTACGGCCAGTGCCCCTGTAACGAATGCGCCTGTAGTGAGCGCTCCTCCATCGAATGCGTCTGTAGCGGGTGCGCCTGTAGGAAGCGCGACTGTAGCGAGCGCGCCTGCCGCGGGCGCGGCGGTGGCGGAGCAGTACCGCGCGCTGCTGGAGAAGGCGTGCGCCAAGTTCGCGCGGCTGCGCGAGCTGCCGCTGTACGGGCGGCAACGGTGGGAGGCGCGCTTCCACAAGGCGTTCAGCGTGTACTCGCGCCTCTGGCGCTTCCAGCAGGAGCACCGCGCGCGCCTCGTCGACCACGGGCTCAAGTATGCCACGCGCCGCGCCGCCCGCGATTGCGGTTCCGCCTTCCGACCGTGTCCGCGCGAAAGCTGACCCTCTCTCTCCTCCTTGCGCGCAGGCGGTGGGAGATCGGCGAGATCGCGTCGCGCATAGGGCAGCTGTACTACAACTACTACCTGCGCACGGGCGACGCGAGCTACCTGCTGGAGGCGTTCATCTTCTACGACGCCATCCACAGGTGGGCCTTCTACGACGCCATCCACAGGTGGGCCTTCTACGACGCCATCCACAGGTGGGCCCGTGAGATCGCATCCACAAGTTACCCCATCCTCGTCGCCCTGCCCCATCCTCATCGCCCTGCCCCATCCTCATCGCCCTGCCTTGCGTTCGTCCGCACGCGCTCCTTCATTCCCATGTGCCTGCTCGTGTGCCCAACTGCCCCCCGTCCCTTCCCTCCGCCTTGCCTCCCCCCAGGCGCGAGTATTTCCGCGAGGCGGCGCGCGGGGATGCGGCGGTGGCGCACAAGCAGCTGCGGTGGCTGGCGCGGTTCACAGTGGTGTGCGTGCTGCTGGGCGGCGGGAGATGCTGCGCCAGCTGCTGTGGCAGCTTAGGCTGCTCGTCGACGACTATGCGCGCGCCTTCCAGGTGCCGTGCATGCAGTGCTCGTGTGGCAGGCGCATGGTTGCACGTGCACGCGAAGGACCATCTGCCTGCCGAAATCCCTCCATGCGTCCTTGCCTGTCCGCAAGCACGGCCATGCGCATCCCAACATGCCTCCTCCTCTGCCTCCTGCTCCCCCATGCTTCCCCCCAGGCGGCGGACGCGGCGGAGTGGAAGGGCGTGGTGCACGAGGCGGTGCGCTTCCTGCGCGCCGACTGGCCCTCCGACTGCCCGCGCCCGCTGCGCTACTCCGTGCTGCTCGACCCACCGCCGGCGCGCTGCCCCCCGTCGCGACGCTCATGGCGCCCGGCGCCCCGCGCGCGCTGGCCCTGCAGGAAGTCGTCATCACGTCCTTCTACCCGCTCGAGGTGCGGGGGGGGGGGGGGAGGGGGGCACTGGCTGGCAGGCTCTGTACAGGTGGTGTTAGGTTGCGTGCACCTGGCCTCTCGTTCCCTCCTCGTCCTCAACCCTCTCACCCCGCCACGGCTCGCCGTCTTTCCCTCCCTCTCGCCCACTGCCCGCTCTCCCTCCTCCTCTCACCCATCTGCTGTCTCCCCCCCCCTCCTCACCGGCAGGTGAAGCTGAGCGAGCTCACGCTGGACGCCTTCCGCGTGCTGCAGGCCGTGGAGTGGCTGCCCAGTGGCTTCTTCGTCAAGACGGCACAGGGGGGGGTCGCCACGCAGGGCTTCAGCGCTGCAGGGGGCGCGGGGGGCGGTGGTGCGGGTGGTGAGGGCAGGGAAGGGGGCGAGGGGCCGCGCCTGGTGGGGGGGGCGGAGGAGAACGTGGTGGATCCGAGCCGCCGCCCAACCCGCACAAAATACGTGCTGCACCGCCCACCGTGCCGCACCTGCTCATGGTGAGGGGGAGGGTGCAGGGCGTGCATGGCGTGGCGTGGCTTGGTGTGGCGTGGCTTGGTGTGGCGTGGCTCCTCCGCGTATGTCCGTCCGTCCGCACAACTTCCTTCCTTCCATGCCCCCGCGCACGCCCATACTTCCCACCCTGCCATCCCGTCATTCCCTCCACCCCTTATCCCTGCATGCGTGCGTGCGTGCGTGCGTGCGTGCGTGCGTGCGTGCGTGCGTGCGTGCGTGCGTGCGTGCGTGCGTGCGTGCGTGCGTGCGTGCGTGCGTGCGTGCGTGCGTGCGTGCGTGCGTGCGTGCGTGCGTGCGTGCGTGCGTGCGTGCGTGCGTGCGTGCGTGCGTGCGTGCGTGCGTGCGTGCGTGCGTGCGTGCGTGCGTGCGTGCGTGCGTGCGTGCGTGCGTGCGTGCGTGCGTGCGTGCGTGCGTGCGTGCGTGCGTGCGTGCGTGCGTGCGTGCGTGCGTGCGTGCGTGCGTGCGTGCGTGCGTGCGTGCGTGCGTGCGTGCGTGCGTGCGTGCGTGCGTGCGTGCGTGCGGCGTGCGTGCGTGCGTGCGTGCGTGCGTGCGTGCGTGCGTGCGTGCGTGCGTGCGTGCGTGCGTGCGTGCGTGCGTGCGTGCGTGCGTGCGTGCGTGCGTGCGTGCGTGCGTGCGTGCGTGCGTGCGTGCGTGCGTGCGTGCGTGCGTGCGTGCGTGCGTGCGTGCGTGCGTGCGTGCGTGCGTGCGTGCGTGCGTGCGTGCGTGCGTGCGTGCGTGCGTGCGTGCGTGCGTGCGTGCGTGCGTGCGTGCGTGCGTGCGTGCGTGCGTGCGTGCGTGCGTGCGTGCGTGCGTGCGTGCGTGCGTGCGTGCGTGCGTGCGTGCGTGCGTGCGTGCGTGCGTGCGTGCGTGCGTGCGTGCGTGCGTGCGTGCGTGCGTGCGTGCGTGCGTGCGTGCGTGCGTGCGTGCGTGCGTGCGTGCGTGCGTGCGTGCGTGCGTGCGTGCGTGCGTGCGTGCGTGCGTGCGTGCGTGCGTGCGTGCGTGCGTGCGTGCGTGCGTGCGTGCGTGCGTGCGTGCGTGCGTGCGTGCGTGCGTGCGTCGTGCGTGCGTGCGTGCGTGCGTGCGTGCGTGCTGGTGCGTGCGTGCGTGCGTGCGTGCGTGCGTGCGTGCGTGCGTGCGTGCGTGCTGCGTGCGTGCGTGCGTGCGTGCGTGCGTGCGTGCGTGCGTGCGTGCGTGCGTGCGTGGGTGCGTGCGTGCGTGCGTGCGTGCGTGCGTGCGTGCGTGCGTGCGTGCGTGCGTGCGTGCGTGCGTGCGTGCGTGCGTGCGTGCGTGCGTGCGTGCGTGCGTGCGTGCGTGCGTGCGTGCGTGCGTGCGTGCGTGCGTGCGTGCGTGCGTGCGTGCGTGCGTGCGTGCGTGCGTGCGTGCGTGCGTGCGTGCGTGCGTGCGTGCGTGCGTGCGTGCGTGCGTGCGTGCGTGCGTGCGTGCGTGCGTGCGTGCGTGCGTGCGTGCGTGCGTGCGTGCGTGCGTGCGTGCGTGCGTGCGTGCGTGCGTGCGTGCGTGCGTGCGTGCGTGCGTGCGTGCGTGCGTGCGTGCGTGCGTGCGTGCGTGCGTGCGTGCGTGCGTGCGTGCGTGCGTGCGTGCGTGCGTGCGTGCGTGCGTGCGTGCGTGCGTGCGTGCGTGCGTGCGTGCGTGCGTGCGTGCGTGCGTGCGTGCGTGCGTGCGTGCGTGCGTGCGTGCGTGCGTGCGTGCGTGCGTGCGTGCGTGTGCGTGCGTGCGTGCGTGCGTGCGTGCGTGCGTGCGTGCGTGGCGTGCGTGCGTGCGTGCGTGCGTCGTGCGTGCGTGCGTGCGTGCGTGCGTGCGTGCGTGCGTGCGTGCGTGCGTGCGTGCGTGCGTGCGTGCGTGCGTGCGTGCGTGCGTGCGTGCGTGCGTGCGTGCGTGCGTGCGTGCGTGCGTGCGTGCGTGCGTGCGTGCGTGCGTGCGTGCGTGCGTGCGTGCGTGCGTGCGTGCGTGCGTGCGTGCGTGCGTGCGTGCGTGCGTGCGTGCGTGCGTGCGTGCGTGCGTGCGTGCGTGCGTGCGTGCGTGGCGTGGCGTGCGTGCCGTGCGTGGGCGTGCGTGCGTGCGTGCGTGCGTGCGTGCGTGCGTGCGTGCGTGCCGGCGTGCGTGCGTGCGTGCGTGCCTGCGTGCCTGCGTGCCTGCGTGCCTGCGTGCCTGCGTGCCTGCGTGCCTGCGTGCCTGCGTGCCTGCGTGCCTGCGTGCCTGCGTGCCTGCGTGCCCTGCGTGCCTGCGTGCCTGCGTGCCTGCGTGCCTGCGTGCCTGCGTGCCTGCGTGCCTGCGTGCCTGCGTGCCTGCGTGCCTGCGTGCCCTGCGTGCCTGCCGTGCCTGCGTGCCTGCGTGCCCTGCGTGCCTGCGTGCCTGCGTGCCTGCGTGCCTGCGTGCCTGCGTGCCTGGCGTGCCTGCGTGCCTGCGTGCCTGCGTGCCTGGCGGTGCCTGCGTGCCTGCGTGCCTGCGTGCCTGCGTGCCTGCGGTGCTGCTGCGTGCCTGCGTGCCTGCGTGCTGCGTGCCTGCGTGCCTGCGTGCCTGCTGCGTGCCTGCGTGCCTGCGTGCCTGCGTTGCCTGCGTGCCTGCGTGCCTGCGTGCCTGCGTGCCTGCGTGCCTGCGTGCCTGCGTGCCTGCGTGCCTGCGTGCCTGCGTGCCTGCGTGCCTGCGTGCCTGCGTGCCTGCGTGCCTGCGTGCCTGCGTGCCTGCGTGCCTGCGTGCCTGCGTGCCTGCGTGCCTGCGTGCCTGCGTGCCTGCGTGCCTGCGTGCCTGCGTGCCTGCGTGCCTGCGTGCCTGCGTGGCCTGCGTGCTGCGTGCCTGCGTGCCTGCGTGCCTGCGTGCCTGCGTGCCTGCGTGCCTGCGTGCCTGCGTGCCTGCGTGCCTGCGTGCCTGCGTGCCTGCGTGCCTGCGTGCCTGCGTGCCTGCGTGCCTGCGTGCCTGCGTGCCTGCGTGCCTGCGTGCCTGCCTGCCTGCGTGCCTGCCGTGCCCTGCGTGCCTGCGTGCCTGCCTGCCTGCGTGCCTGCCTGCCTGGCCTGCCTGCCTGCCTGCCTGCCTGCCTGCCCTGCCTGCCTGCCTGCCTGCCTGCCTGGCCTGCCTGCCTGCCTGCCTGCCTGCCTGCCTGCCTGCCTGCCTGCCTGCCTGCCTGCCTGCCTGCCTGCCTGCCTGCCTGCCTGCCTGCCTGCCTGCCTGCCTGCCTGCCTGCCTGCCTGCCTGCCTGCCTGCCTGCCTGCCTGCCTGCCTGCCTGCCTGCCTGCCTGCCTGCCTGCCTGCCTGGCTGCCTGCCTGCCTGCCTGCCTGCCTGCCTGCCTGCCTGCCTGCCTGCCAAACTGCCTGCCTGCCTGCCTGCCTGCCTGCCTGCCTGCCTGCCTGCCTGCCTGCCTGCCTGCCTGCCTGCCTGCCTGCCTGCCTGCCTGCCGGCCTGCCTGCCTGCCTGCCTGCCTGCCTGCCTGCCTGCCTGCCTGCCTGCCTGCCTGCCTGCCTGCCTGCCTGCCTGCCTGCCTGCCTGCCCTGCCTGCCTGCCTGCCTGCCTGCCTGCCTGCCTGCCTGCCTGCCTGCTGCCTGCCTGCCTGCCTGCCTGCCTGCCTGCCTGGCCTGCCTGCCTGCCTGCCTGCCTGCCTGCCTGGCCTGCCTGCCTGCCTGCCTGCCTGCCTGCCTGCCTGCCTGCCTGCCTGCCTGCCTGCCTGCCTGCCTGCCATCCTGCCTGCCTGCCTGCCTGCCTGCCTGCCTGCTGCCTGCCTGCCTGCCTGCCTGCCTGCCTGCCTGCCTGCCTGCCTGCCTGCCTGCCGCCTGCCTGCCTGCCTGCCTGCCTGCCTGCCTGCCTGCCTGCCTGCCTGCCTGCCTGCCTGCCTGCCTGCCTGCCTGCCTGCCTGCCTGCCTGCCTGCCTGCCTGCATCCCTGCATGCACGCGCCCCGCCCTCAGGTGCTGGCCACAGCCGTGGACGAGCTGCCCCCCGACGCCGCCCTGCTGCTCTACCTCTCCGCCACCGCCACCCTTGCTGCCCCCCCCGCTGCTGCTGCCCCCTCCCTGCCCCCTCCGCGTCCACCCCCGACCCCTCTGCCGCATCACCTGCTGCCCCCGCCGTGGCGAGCAGCAGCAGCAGTGTGTCGCGAGAGGAAGGTGGGCTGGCAAGCGGCCCTTCAGGCGACGCAGCAGCTTCAGCCGCTGCAGAGGCCGGCGCACGGCCAGGGGAATCCAAGCAGTGCAGCAGCAGCGCAGCAGATGCGGGCGGGGGGGCAGTGCAGAGGGGCAAGGCACAGAGGGTCAGACGGGCAGCAGAGCACGAGGTGATGGGGGCGAGGGGGATGGAGGCAGGGGGGGGGACGGGGTGTGGTTGCGGATGGGCGTGGGGCCAGAGGAGGCACACATGTGCTACCTGCGGGCATCTGACATCCTGCCCTTCACCCGCCGGCCACTTGTGCTCATAGTGGATAGTGACAACAGCATGGCGTTTGAGGTGTGTTGGTCTCCTACCCTTGCCTCCGTATCTCGGTCTCTCCCCCTCACCCATGCCCTGCTGCATGCGCATGCTCGTGCCAGTGCTGCCATGCCTCCATCTCTTGATTCTTCCCTGCCTATCCACTTCTTCCTCTCCCCTCTTTCCCCAATCACTCCCCTGCGTCCCTCTCCCTCCCCCCCAGTGGGTGCATGGCAGGGAGCGCGGACAGCCGTGCGCCATGCTGCTGTCACCCCGCCTGCAGCCCGACATCAGCTCGGCCCCCCGCCCCTCGCGCTCCCAGCCCTCCACCACCGCCACCGCCACCGCCACTGCTGAAATGGCGTCCTCAGCCTCCGCTCAACCTGCCTCTGCTGCTGCTGCTGCTGACATGGGCGCAGAGGCGCCCTCAGCTCACCCCACTGCCGGCCCGTCCAGCCCCTCCTCTGCCCTCTCCGCTGCGCCTGCTGCTCCTGCTGCTGCTCCCCCTGCCTCCTCCACCTCCTCCTCCCCCCTGTCCCTGGCCACGGCCACGCACCTGGCGGGCGGCAACCTGTTCACGCTCTTCCTCACGGCCCCCCTGCAGGCCTTCTGCCGCCTCACTGCCGTCCACCTGCCCGATGTCCCCAAGGTACCGCTGCTCGTATTTTCAAGCATAGTAGCCAAAACAATGGAAATTGGCACAATAGCATAGGGGCAGAAACGTGTTGCGGCGTGTCACGCGGGGCCGTGGCGCTCCTCAACTCATGCGTGCTGCCCCCTCCAATCGCCTCACTCCTCCTCCCCTGCCCCAAACGCGCCCTCACCTCTTTCCCCTCTCTTCTCCTTCCCAACCGCCCCCTCCCACCTCCCCTTTCCTTTCCGCCAGGAGCGGTACATGGCGTGGGAGCGGCACCTGGCCATGCTGCTGTCGCAGTGGGGCTCCTCTCTCGCGGCGTGCCCCACACTGCCCCTGGCGTGGGCGCGCCTGCTGCTGGACCCCTTCCTGCGCCTCTTCCTCCTGCGGTCAGCGCCCTGCCCTCCATGCCACGCCCATGCGCATCGTTGCTTGCATGGCAAGAACATCCTGTCCCTCGCATTCTTTCCACCATCTCATGCCTACACGGACCCATCTGCCCCTCCCCCACCCACTCCCTTTCTGCAACTTCCCCCGTCTCTCCCCTCCTTCACCCCCCCATCAGTTTCGTCTTCGCCCGTGCTGTGCTCGCGCTGCACGTCTCCTATGCCGCCCGCCCAGCCTTCCACCCACACTGCTGCCCACCCCTGCCGGCCACAATGCTCCCCTCCCACCCCGCGATCCACTCTGCCGTCCGCCACCTCGCTCAGCAGTGCGGTGTTGCCGCCCAGTTCCCGCCGCCCAGTAGCAGCCCGTGCCCCCCACAAGTGACAGAAAAGCGCGGCGATGGAGAGGTGGTGGTGGGTGGTAGTGCTGTCGGTGCTGGTGCTGCTGGTGCGGCCAGTGGGGAGGAGGGGGGAGCAGAGGGACGCGGTGAGAGCGGGGAGGGCATGGAGAGGGGGGGCAGCAGGGACGCAGAGTCAGGCAGCAGCGCAATCACAGGTGCAGGCACAAGCAGTGGGAGTGGGGTGGACACTGGGAGTGAGGGTGGGAGTGAGGGGGGGAGGACAGTGAGTGTGGAGGAGAGGAGGCGGCAGTTTGCAGCGGGGAGGATCGGAGGGGTGCCGGTGCTGGGCGGCATGGGGTTTGATTCCTTCAGGCAGGACACTGTGGTGGGGGGGGCTGGTGCTGTGCAGGGTGGGGGAGATGCAGAGGCTGCGTGGGAGCAGCCGGCAGTGGGGGATGAGGGGTGACGGGTGGTGGAGGGAAGCGGTGGGGTGGGGGTGTGTGTGTTGTGGGGCGTGAAGAGCGGGGGTATTTCTTGGAGGCAGGAGCAGCTTGTGCCGTGTCCTGTACCATGCGCTGTGCGGTGTACCGGTATGTGTGAAGAAGCCTTGAACAAGGAATGTCAGTCAAGTCAAACCCAGTCAATTGCCATCCAGCCTTGGCGACAGCCAGAGGGTGAGAGAGTGTCCGGCAACACCTGCTGATGATGGCCACGTAGGCCAGCAAGTGCAGTCCGGTTCCACACTGCCCGCCTGACCAAATTGCAGAAGCGCATGGAATGCGGAGGGCAGCAGTGGACAATGGCCAAGCCAAGGCTACCCACCCACACATGGCTACAAGCTCTACGGGTGCAGCAGCTATCGTAGTCGCGTTGCGTTGCGTTGCATGGCTCATGCGGCAGATGGGCTTCATGCAGTCCCAAATGTTGGGCACCACTTGGCAGTGGTGCAGGTGCTTTGCCTGTTGGGCCCCTGCAGGCGGTGCCAGCCAACAACGCTGTACACCATGCAGGCTTATACCATGTCAATCATAATTCATATCACAGAGCAGCATACGGTACTACATGGCAGCAATGGCGATGCACGATGCCACATTGTGCCACCTCCATGCCACCGACCAGCACAGCAACCCTCCCTGGGCAGCAACATGTGAGCATCAGTGAGTGCTCAGTGGGTAAAACGATTTAAAAATACAGGTTCACCATTCAAAAGCGAGGAGAGGAGAGGAGAGAGCGCAAGGGAAGGGCGGGTATGGTGTGGCCCAGCAATGCGCTCCATGACATGGCCTGCTGGCACCCCCTGCCCCTCACCTCGTCCTCTCTGCTCTCCAGGAACAAGTGCTTCTCTCCAGTCCAAATCCCTTCCTCATTTCGGGTGTCCTCAGATGATGGCCGGCCGGTCATTCGACTACATGTGGCACGAAGAAGGGTCAGTCAGCCCGCACTTGCAAAGAGGTTGCACAGCAGTTGTTCTCCGGGTGGACTTGCTCGTGCCGTGCTGCATCGCCACTGCAATCCCCATGCCCACAAGTTGTAGGCACAAGATGGAGCCCACAGATTGCAGTGCCATTGATACAAGATGAACCGCTCTAACAGCCTGCTGGCGGCTTCTACTCAGCAGCAGCAGGAGCAGCAGGTGCTGCGGCCTTAGCAGCAGCGGCGGCAGCATGGCCCGGGCACGAGGTGCAGCCGTCCGGATGCTTGCAGCGGATGAGCCCGAAGAGCAGCGCCTCCGACACCGACGCCCGCACATGGCACAGCAGCAGGCGCACTGCCTGAGGAGGGGGAGAGAGAGAGAGGCGCGTGGGGGCCATGGGGTGGGGATGAGCCGGGGGCCGTGAGGTGAGTGCAGTGAATGCAGTGCAAGCAAGAGTGAAGTGAGTTACTCATGCGGACACTGCACAGCAGCATGACAGCAAACAGGAACTAGAAGGATGATCGGCACACATCATGGCCTGCATGCTAACATCATGGCATGCAAGCCAACATCATGGCATGCAAGCCAACATCATGGCACGCGTGCTAACATCATGGCAGGCAAGCTAACATCATTGCTTGCATGCCATCACGGCCAGCATACCTCACTAACGCTCTGGCAATTGTTGGCTTCTTGAAGCGTCTGCAGAACCCCCTCATGCTGACGTCATGGGTGACATGTGATGGTGGCAATAGCAAGGCGCGTATACTGTGAGTTGTGGCGGAGCAGTGGATGAGAGCAGTGGATGGGAGCAGTGGATGAGAGCAGTGGATGAGAGCAGTGGATGAGAGCAGTGGATGAGAGCAGTGGATGAGAGCAGTGGATGAGAGCAGTGGATGAGAGCAGTGGATGAGAGCAGTGGATGAGAGCAGTGGATGGGAGCAGTGGATGAGAGCAGTGGATGAGAGCAGTGGATGAGAGCAGTGGATGAGAGCTGTGGATGAGAGCAGTGGATGAGAGCAGTGGATGAGAGCAGTGGATGGGAGCAGTGGATGAGAGCAGTGGATGAGAGCAGTGGATGAGAGCAGTGGATGAGAGCAGTGGATGAGAGCAGTGGATGAGAGCAGTGGATGAGAGCAGTGGATGAGAGCAGTGGATGAGAGCAGTGGATGAGAGCAGTGGATGGGAGCAGTGGATGAGAGCAGTGGATGAGAGCAGTGGATGAGAGCAGTGGATGAGAGCAGTGGATGAGAGCTGTGGATGAGAGCAGTGGATGAGAGCTGTGGATGAGAGCAGTGGATGAGAGCTGTGGATGAGGGCTGCACGCGGTACTTAACCATGAGTGCGCGGTAGAGAGCAAGGCACTTGGCATGACAGCATAGAACCTCATGTTGAGGGCAGCGTTCAACACGGGGCGAGGGCAGCACGCACTCAACACGGGGCGAGGGCAGCACGCACTCAACACGGGGCGAGGGCAGAAGGCACTCACGAATCCTTCGATGGCGAATGAATGCGCGGCGAGCGGAGAGCAGGGTGACTCGGTGGCCTGCCATGGGACGCCGTGCAATCCAAGACAGAGCAACGAGACGCCATGGCATGGCATGGCATGGCATGGCATGGAGTGCAGCGGGATGCAGAGCAGGGAATGGCATGGTGGCATGAGCCGTACAACGAGTTCCATGGACGACGCGCGCGACCCACTGGAGCAACCCGCCGCACGCAGCGCCACCACGCGGCACAGCACGCCGCGCTATACTGTGCATACCCCCCTGGCCTTACCTCCGTGCCGCCCAGTGCCGCCAGGCTCTCATCCCTGGCGTACGTCAGCACGATGCGCAGCGCCTTGCCTGCGCACGGCGGAGAGCCGGGGGGAGGACGGGGGTGTGGGGGAGGCAGTGAACGCGCGGGCGACCGACGATTGTGCTGCCAATGCGCCGTCGGTCACCGAATTCACCCTCCGACTCTCTACCCGCCGCGTCCTCCTCTCATCCGTCTTGCCTACGCGCGTCCCTCATCGCAGCTCGCCTACGCACCGGCGTCAGGCAGGCCGTGTTTGGCGGCCATCTGCTCGAGCCACGCCGCGTCGCCCGCCGCCAGCTGCAGCTCCACCGCGATCTTCGGCGGCTGTGGCGGGGGAGGGGTGGCAGGAATGCGAGGGCGGAGGTTAGCAGCGGCGGAGGGCGATGCGAGCGACGAGAGGGAGCGAGATTCTGTGCAGCGCGACGACCTACACGCACCGCCATAGCCGATCCACCCTCAAGAAGGTCAAGGTGATGCCGTCTTGAGTGATGGTGGAGTAATGTGAATGATTAATAGGGTATTAAAAGGCAAACAAGCCTGCATAATGTATCAGAGTGGCGCAGCGGAAGCGTGGTGGGCCCATAACCCACAGGTCCGAGGATCGAAACCTCGCTCTGATACTGTTGTCTGTATCTCCCTTTTGCGGTTGGGAAGGGAACACACAGTGTGTGTTCTCAACGTTCCATGTCAACCACCACCAAGTAGCGCATTTGAGGTCTGTTGTAGTTGTAGGTGACGTTTGGTCCACAATGAGGTGTACACGTTGCTCAAACACGCTTCTGCATGTGTTGCCTGCAAGCACCGTCTCTGCCCTGAGATTGAACCGCCCCGTCCCGAGATTTGCAGCTGCTGCGCCCGTCGAGAAATTTGCGCCATCGGGAATTTTGCACCACGCGTTTGCAGAGCATCACAGCCTCATGCTCCACTCCAGAACTCCACAACAGAGTTTCATTGCGGTTTCCTCACCATCCATGGCTGCGACCATCAGCTCTTCCCTGGTGAGGTACGTCGCCCGATTTATTTATTTTTAAAATTAAGGTAATTGTTTTTTTCCCAGCGTCCTAACAGATTTTCTTCATTCCCTGGCAGGCTTGCGAGGCTCCGCCCTAAATCTCACGTTGCAGATTTTCACCCGCCGTCAATTGCGTCCATCACGCGGAAGCCTTACTCAGGCGTCAGTGAGTGCGTGCGAGTCTTATCGGCACGTAGTAGACGGACGTGCATCCACGATGCACCCCTCCTGCAGTCCCCGCCGCTGCAGTATTCCCACGACCCATCAGCGGAGTGCGTCCTCAGCATCGCGGGCATCCATGGGTTGGCGGGTCCCGACCTCCCCGTAGAGCTGCCGGGTCGTGGCGGAGGGCAGCCTGCGCCCCCCGAGATATTCCCCAGCTCGCCGCCAATCCCCATGCCCAACGTCCCCCCGCTCACCCCCCCCGAAGTCCCCCCGCCCTCACCACCCCCCGAAGCCGTCCCCATCCCGCCCCCTGGAGCCCCAACCCCAACCCTTCCGCCAAATCTGCCGCTCTTCCCCCCGCCCGAGGTCCCCTCTCCCCCTCCGCCCGGCATTGTTCCGGAAATCCCCGAGATTCCCAACCCTCCGGAGCGAGCCCCCGAGATTCCCAACCCTCCGGAGCGAGCCCCCGAGATTCCCGAGGTGCCAACCCCGCCTGACGTGCTGCCGGACATCCCGGGCATCCCAGGACCGCCGCATGTGCCGGACGCGCCCGAGCTGCCGCATCTGCCGCCGGAGGTGCCGCCAGGATCACCAGGCGGACGAGACGGCATCATGTGGGCGACGATGGCCCGCCCGCGCTGACCGCCGCTGACCCTACTGGCATAGCAACTTCCTAGAGTAGGTGGTCATGCGCGAGCGGGAAACTACGTTAGCCTCAGAAGCACCTTCGGCTCATCGTTGTACTGGAAAGCTGTTGTACCGTTCTGTAGTTGTATATACAACTTCATATGGACAGCAGAAAAGCATGCTAAGAGGAGGAGCTAGTAAAAACAGCCGACCAAGAATCGCAGAGGAGAAAAGAGAAGAACGAATAGAGTACACAAGCAGTTGACGGCCTCGCTACTCGTCGGCGAGCATCTGCATCTGGGGGGGCGGTGAACACGCCTGGAACTTGCGCACGTTGCCCGCATAGCCTGGGCGGAGGCACGGAGGGGGGATGGGCAGGCAGGGAGGAGATGTGAGTCGCCGCGCATGTAGGGAAACGAAGGGAACACTGGGTGGGTGCCGGTGGGAGCGGGCGCAGTTAACACTGCTGCGGCTTATGATACTTCATGCTAGTGACATGCGCGCACCTATGGCGGGGTCCCATCCGCGGTTGCGCAGTTCGCGGTGCTCCTGCGCGATGGCGCAGCACGCGCACACGCAGTGCATCCACATATCGCTCAGCGGCCGCTGCGGCAGCATGTACTTCTCGCGCAGGCGCTTGCGGAAATCTGCGGAGCAACGGGTGTGCAGGAGAGTGTGGCGAGAGCATGATGGTGTGAAGTCACGAGACGAGGTCACACGGCGAGGCAGCACGCGAAAGCGAATGGATGGGGATCCGCGGAGAGAGCGGCAAGGGGGCGCAAGGGAGGGAGCGCAAGGGAGGAGGCGCAAGGGAGGAGGCGCAAGGGAGTCTGACCTCGCCCAAAGAAGGCGCCGCTGCAGGCGAGCTGCAGGAGGGCCCAGCCGACGCACGCCCGGTAGGGGTCTGCAGGGCGCGGGGCAAGCGAGCGGAGGATAAAGGGAGTCGATTAGGCGGAGACGGGGGGCTGCGAGGCGATCATAGCAGCTAGCGCGCGAAGCAGTGCACTGCGGCTAGGGCCAGCGGCGGGTCACCTGTGAAGCCGTCCGTGACGATCTCGGCGTTGCGCCCCACCATGACGCATGGACAACACGCCGCGCAGCACACTGCGCGCACACACAACGGGCCAAAGCGGGGGCGTTGGGGATTAGCAGAGCGGAAGACGCGGGGTGATGTGAGGCCATCGAGGCGAGACGGTTCGGCGCGCTTACTGGAAGGGACGTCGTCGCAGCAGGCGAAGGCGGGCGTGGTCCACGCGCCCTCCGGCACCCACGGCTGGTCGAACGCCATGGCGGCGCCGAGATGCAGTGCGCAGGGTTGAACGGGACAGTGGCAGGCAGGCTGCTTCGGGCTCGACTCAACTTGGTCCTCGGCAGCGAGATTGGCGGGGAGCGATGGTTTCTACAGAAGCAGGCGAGTGGCTGGCAGTGGACAGCGTGAAATGCTGGGAGAGAAACTGGATGGCGGAGCAGAAAGCTGTGGGAAATAACGCAGAATGGGAACGTGGTGTATGTGAGGGGCGAGGTGGCGGTGGAGCTGTAGTCGTAAACAAGGAGGTCAAATGAGATCCCAAGATGCGGCACGCGAGGGAACGCGATGAGCCGTGAAGTGCGGGCAGCGCCCCCAACGCCATTATCGCAGGCAGGCGTGATTCGTTGGCAGAAACGCGAACCATGCTCTCGCTATTGGCGCACGCGAAAACCAATTGCTTCAGGACAATGAAGCATCGATCTGACTTTCATGGCCTTTCAATATGAATGCAGTAAGAAAAGTTTCTATGGCATGCCACATAATCAAGCTTGTATGTGGATAATGCATGGTTCGGAATCGTGAAAGTAAACGTCATTTCATGGATTCGTGGTGTCACAACAGAAGTGCTAAGCTGCGGATGATGTTTCTAATTCGGATACAAGATCCTTCAGCTTTTCTATCAGTACGCTCATGCCTGGTCTATTGTCCCAATCATAGAAGATGGCAAACTTTATCAACGTGAACACGACAAGAACATGCTTCAGCTGCCACTGGCCCGAAAGGCTTGGGTCCATGACAAGAGCTGCATCAGGGTAGTCCCTTGCGGTAACCAGGCGCCGCAGCTCCTTGAAGTTGCCATCGAGCGCAGAGCAGCCGGAGATGAGCTCGAGGAGGAAGATCCCAAACGCATACGTGTCGGACTTCTTGCTCAGCATGCCTGCACGAGCAAAGCAGGACAACAACGGCAAGCATAGAGATTTCCTCCAAGAGCCCCACAAGGCCTTGGTGATGCCGGTGCCGTGGAAGTGAGTGCGGTTTTGCGTGGAGGAAAGGGGAGGGCATCTGACCTGAGTCGAAGTAGATGGGGTCGATGTAGCCCACCGACCCCATCACTCTCGTCTCCACATGTGTCTTCCAATCGTCCACCGCTCGAGCCAGCCCAAAATCCGCCACCACGGGAGTCAGGTCCTGGAACGGTTGCGGGGTGGGTGGGGTTGACAAGACCCGCTTCAGGAGCCAAGACTAAGGGAAAAGTGGGCCTAAGGCCGTGGTACCTGGGTTGCGCAACCTATCTAAGTTGCGCAACCCAACCTGGTTACCAGGCTTGCCGAACCTCGCATGGCGTGTGAAAAATGGGTTGAGTTGGGTTGGGTTTTTCGCCAGTTGCGCAATCCGGGTTGCAGTCTCGAGGCAAAGCGCGCGCAGCCCATGTACCACGCCTTAATAATCTCTCAGCAGCATGCTGGGCCTCACATCTCTGAGCAGCATGTTGCGCCTCACCTCTCTGAGCAGCACGTTGGACGCCTTGAAGTCGCGGTGCACAAAGTTGTTGGCGTGGATGGTGGTGAGCGCCTCCGCACACCCCAGCGCCACCCTCATCCTTTCGCTCCACGAGAAGCGCACCTCGCCCCGCTTGGCTGGGGCGGGCGGACCACGGCGAGAGAAGGGACGGATGCCGACAGAGAGGGGACGAGACGATGGAGGCGGGGAAAAGGAGACGGCGCACGTGCAGGACGAGACACGTGGCGGCGGGCAGCAGCACGGATGAAGGCGGGGAGTGCGCGGACAAGAGGGCACGCAGCAGAGGAGGGAGTGTGGTTGATGGGTGAGGCGGAGAAAGACACACCTTTGGCAAGGTAGGAGCTGGCATCGCCATTGGGGATGTACTCGTAGATGAGGATGGGCGTGGCGCCCACCACATAGCCTTCCAGCCGCAGGATGTTGGGATGATGCACCCGCGCCATCACCGCCACCTCCGTCTGCTATGCCGCCATGCCACCATGCCACCATGCCACCATGCCACCATGCCACCATGCCACCATGCCACCATGCCACCATGCCACCATGCCACCATGCCGCCATGCCACCATGGCACCATGCCACCATGCCACCATGCCACCATGGCACCATGCCACCATGCCACCATGCCGCCATGCCGCCATGCCACCATGCCACCATGCCACCATGCCACCATGCCACCATACCGCCATGCCACCATGCATGGCAGTAGCCACAGCATTGACAGCCGAGTATGGCAGGGGTTGGGGACGAGGAGATTAGAGTGACCTTTGGGGGGGGTGGTTGGGAAGAAGATGGGGAGAGGGAAGATCGCACATGGGGAGAGGGAACATCGCACATGGGGAGAGGGAACATCGCACATGGGGAGAGGGAACATCGCACATGGGGAGAGGGAACATCGCACATGGGGAGAGGGAACATCGCACATGGGGAGAGGGAACATCGCACATGGGGAGAGGGAACATCGCACATGGGGAGAGGGAACATCGCACATGGGGAGAGGGAACATCGCACATGGGGAGAGGGAACATCGCACATGGGGAGAGGGAACATCGCACATGGGGAGAGGGAACATCGCACATGGGGAGAGGGAACATCGCACATGGGGAGAGGGAACATCGCACATGGGGAGAGGGAACATCGCACATGGGGAGAGGGAACGTCGCACATGGGGAGAGGGAACGTCGCACATGGGGAGAGGGAACGTCGCACATGGGGAGAGGGAACATCGCACATGGGGAGAGGGAACATCGCACATGGGGAGAGGGAACATCGCACATGGGGAGAGGGAACATCGCACATGGGGAGAGGGAACATCGCACATGGGGAGAGGGAACATCGCACATGGGGAGATAGTGCACTGTGCGTCGCTTATTCCCCGCGTCCGCACGGCCCGCCGTCCCCCGTGCGTCGCACCATGAAGCTGTCGACGCCGTTGGCGATGTGCTCGCCGCTCATCAGCTTCACCGCCACGGGCCACACGCCCGCGCTCTTGGCGCGGGGAGACGCGGGGGTGGGCTCGGCGAGGTACCCGTGGTACACGATGCCGAAGCCCCCCCGCCCCAGCTCGTGCGCGAAGGCGCCGGTGGCGGCGTGCACGTCCTGGTAGCTGTACTCGAACACGCCCGCGCCCGCCAGCGCCGACTGCCGCACCGGGTACGGCGACCGCGAGTCTGGGGGGGACCGGGGGGGGGAGGGGGATGAGAGAGCGAGGGGAGATGAGGGAAGGGTAGAGAGAGGATCAAGAGTAGCAGGGAGGGGGGACGACGTGCGACGGCCGACAGCGCAATGTCAGTACGAGCGGGCACGCGACGTTAGTGCTACATGCGATCAAGACTCCATTTTCTAAGACGCGTCACCTGATCGCGACGACCCGAGCTTAGGTGGCGGTGGCCCGTCAACTGCTCCCGCATGCGACGCTGCGCACCCCATCGCCACGTGGCGGACGTGGAGGCACGCGGCAGAGGTGGATTGGGCAATAAGCGGCCGGTTACTCGCGACTGGTTGTCCAATGCGACCGTTCCTTTCGTACCGGTTACTCGCGACTCCTCTAGTGCGCTTCGGCTGTGCAACTAAGTCTTCTGATCAGTGGGCCCGTCGCCTGCTTTCAGTCGTCTCGCCGTGTTTCACGGAACGATCGCCAACTGCCTAAACGGTTACCGTAACCTAGACAACAAGGATGCGGCAGGCCTTCTAGGACTGCTCGCGGGAGCCATGTCTGTCGTAATCGGCGTCCCTTGGTCGGATGGCGTTACTGTTCCGTCGGTCAAGCCTGAACCAGACGCCGTTGAGGTGGCTTAGCTCGGACCTACTCCTGCTGTCAGATTACCTTGCGCTACTGGTGCCTGGGGCTGCTGTGCCTTGCAACATAACTAAGGGAGACAGGCACCATCCTCGCCCTGCTGCCACTCCACGCAAGTGCCACGGCCCATCTTGGCGTGGATGCGGTTTTGCGTTTCAACTGGTCTTTTTGAAACAAGTCCGGGAACCCGTTGCGAACATGACACCAGCTGCTCCTTGACCAGGTCCAAATCTCTCCCCGGTAATGCCGAGCGGCTTTGGGCAGCTTTGTGTTACTCGAACCAACTGCAACTGTGCCCTGAAAACAGGCCCTCGGCTGGTGTTCAGGCAGGGGGACCAAAGATTTCGCAGCAACAACTTGGTTGTGTCGCGCTGGTGATCGCGATTATTTCGCGAGTCGGATTTGACTTTCGTGAATCGCGAACACTCGGCGAAGCCAGCTTGGTGGGGTCAACGGCAGTTGCACACAGCAACACGAGGCGAGGCGAGGCGAGGCACAGCCTGGTCGAAAGACGAGGCACCATACAATACCATCTCTCGTATTTCCCAGCAGCTCAAGTCGAAGCTAGAAGTGTTTAGGTGACTACCAGCGAACACGTCGATTTCACGGCATCGTTCCAGTACCAGCCACTCATCACGTGAAGCACTCAGGGGAGGGCGTTACCCGTTTTGGGCTAGGCGAACCGAGCCAAACAGGGTTTGCGACAGGCCTGCAGAAGGGGACTTCCCTCCTTGGCGTCACGATGAGCCATGGGCGATTGCGTAACACGCAGCCTTTACACCACTTTAGTTCAGGTGACGTGAGATAGCCGTTACAGCCTTCCGTTCCGTCCATCGCCGCGAATCACGTGGCGGCCAGACATCACTTGTCGAGCTCCCTCGGGCAGTAGCGTGAGCTCGCGTCCGTCTCTCTGCGTCGCCGCGGCCCGCGGTGGAGCGCCATGGGGGCTCTCTTCTCGCGCCCGGTCGGCGATGGCCAACTCCGTACGCCGCCCTGCCCTTCCCCTCTCCCTTGCACTCCTTTGAACGCCGTGCTGCTCCCCGACATGCCAGCCCGAGCTGTCTTGCCAAGTCCCGCGCACTAAGGCCGGTTGGCCATGGAGAGCAATCCGTTTCAGTAGACCATCGATTTGGACTGGGTGGAGCGCGGTGGACGCCACCACGTACCTCAACCACCTCACTCACCGCTCACTCTTCCCAATACACGCACTCCCCCCCACCCCCCTCCTCCCCCTTCCTTCCCCCCTCTCCCCCCTCTTCCCCCCCCCACCCCACCTTGTGCGCCCTAGACCCCGTGTACCCGGCGCTGCGGGCGGTGGTGGCGGGGGAGCGTGGGCGGGGGGCGGTGCAGGAGTACGCGTTCGAGGACGCGCTGCACGCCACGGAGGGCTTCAAGGCGCTGGCGGGCCGGGGGGGCTTCGGGTTCGTCTACAAGGGCTTCATGTGGGCGCACACCGCGCCTGGGGCGGGCGAGGGCGGAGTGGGGGCTGGCGCGCGTGTGCTGATCCCCGTGGCGGTGAAGGTGCTGAACGGCGACCCCATGACGGGCGTGGGGGGCCTCGCCACCTTCGCGGTCAGTGGGGGGTCGGGGGAGGCAGGGGGAAGGGGGGGGAGGGAGGGAAGTGAGTAGGAGCAGTGGCTCACTGGGTGGATGCACTTGTCGGTCCAACCCCGCTGCTTGGCTCTGCGCCCCTTCCTGTCATGAAGCCATCTCCCCTCCTCCACCCTGCCGTGTCCCATGGGCCATGCCCCAAACCCCCTCCCCCTCCTCCCCCCCCTCCCCCCCCTCCCCCCCCCTCCCCCCCACGCGGGCAGCATGAGAGCGCGCTGCTGGAGGAGGAGGGGCGGCACGCGAGTCTGCTGCGCGTGCATGGGTATGTGGCGCAGCGGCCGCCCATGATCATCTACGACTTCATCGAGGGCGGCACCGTGGAGCAGCTCATGGCAAGAGGTAGGCAGCTCATGGCAAGAGGTAGACAGCTCATGGCAAGAGGTAGGCAGCTCATGGCAAGAGGTAGGCAGCTCATGGCAAGAGGTAGACAGCTCATGGCAAGAGGTAGACAGCTCATGCTGAGAGGTAAACAGCTCATGCTGAGAGGTAAACAGCTCATGCTGAGAGGTAAACAGCTCATGCTCAGAGGTATGGCCTTGCTATTTCGCATGCTCACACATCACACGTGACCCGCACCCACCTCCCATATTCCCAACTCCGTTGCGCCGCTCCCATCCGCCGCTCACAGGGTGGCCAGCCTTCCCGCCATACCTCGCTCATGCGATGTGAGGCGACCTCGCTCATGCGATGTGAGGCGACCTCGCAACCCCAACGTGTGCCTTGCCATGCCAACCCCTCCCCCTCCTCCCCCCCCCCCTTCTGCCGAGCAGTGGAGAGGGGCGAGGTGCTGTTCCCATGGAGGGCGCGTGTGCAGATGGCGCTGACGTGCGCGGACGTGCTGGCGGAGCTGCACCGGCACCACCTCGTGCACCGCAACTTCAAGGCCTCCAACGTGCTGCTCACTCCGGTCAGCTCGCCACCCTGCCACCTGGTCACTCACTCTCACATGCCTGCCTGCTGTTCTGGCAGAGCGACCTCCCTCTTTCCCTCCATCCCCCCCTCCTGCCCGTCCTCTCTCCATCCCTTTGTTTGTGCAGCACCTTCCCTACTTGCACAATCCCCTCATTTATCCTCCTCTCCCCTCAAAACCCCCCCCCCCCCCCCCCCCCCCCCCCCAAACCCCCCACTCACTGTACCGGTGGCAGGACCTGACCCCCGTGGTGGCGGACTACGGGTTGGCGCGCGTGGTGGCGGACTGGAAGATGCACGTGCAGATGAGGGGCGCCGGCTCCATGTCCTACATCGACCCTGCCTACTTCGACTCAGGTGCATGCCGCCTGCATTCATGCATCCACGTCATCACGTCTGATTGCAGAATCTCTCATGACATCTTGTTACATGACTTGACATCCCAAGGCATCCCATGGCTTCAACGCACCCAATTACACTTCCAGGCACGCTGACGCGCCTGTCGGACACGTACGCGTTTGGCATCTTCCTCCTGGAGCTGGTGTCGGGGGCGTCGGCGCAGGGCCCGCGCTTCAAGGCGGTGCGCAAGGCCGTGGCCACGGCGCGCGAGCCCGACCCCTCACAGGTGCTGGACCCGGTGCTGGCGGGGCAGTGGCACCCGTCCCAGACGGGCGTGGTGCTGGCCACCATCCGCTCCGCCATCCTCTTTGAGCGCGACAACCGCCCAGACATGGCCATCGTTAGAGACCAACTACGCCGGGTGCTGGAGATGATGCCATAGATGGGGAGAAGGCGGGATGTGTTCCAGATTATGGCTTGGTAGGTTTTTTAGGGATCAACTAGATTGTAGTGGCTTGCACTATATGTTTTACTTAGATGTATTCAAACTGCGTATATATTATACATATTTTCTTCACTCAACTACATGGCTGCCACTGTCGATCTACAATCGCGGATATCGGCACTTCCAGCGCCTGCTAATCTCAGGCTCCACGCCTCTTGTCACTCCCAAGGCAGCCTGCCTGCCACCATGCCGCTCTCCGCTCTCCCCGTCGCCCACCCAGTGGCAGCCACGGCTGCTCTCCACACTCGCTCCGCTCCTCCGCCGTTCTCCCATTCGCGCGTGTGCCCCGCCAGCGATCGCCGCCCGGCCGCCTTTCTCCCTCTGCGCGCCGGCAGCCGTCCGCTGAACGCCCATGCCGGCGGGCCCCCGCGAGGCCATGGAAGCACGGCGGGCTCCGGCGGCCGACGCGAGCCCGCGGTGAGGGCGACGGCGACTGTCGCGGTGGCGGCGGCAGGCAGCGGCGAGCTGGCGGCGTTCCCGCGCGACTACGACGAGGCGATCCGCCAGGTAGCGCGCAATGAGTGACGCACGCGGGGAAGGCGGTAGCGCAGAGGCAGTGCAGTGCAGTGCAGAGCAGAGCAGTGCAGAGCACTGCAGTGCAGTGCAGTGCAGAGCAGTGCAGTGCAGTGCAGTGCAGAGCAGTGCAGTGCAGTGCAGTGCAGAGCAGTGCAGTGCAGTGCAGTGCAGAGCAGTGCAGTGCAGTGCAGTGCAGAGCAGTGCAGTGCAGTGCAGTGCAGAGCGCGCGTGGAGATGCTGTCAGGCGTAGCGGAAGGGTGCTTCCATGGCGTGGCGCTGGCCACTCGTGGGATGCGCTCAGCAGCCCATCATGCGTGCTCCCTGGCGTGTGTGTCCCCCGTGCCACAGGCGCAGCAGGCCACTCAAGCGGCTCTCACCGACGGGCGCTCGCTGCTGGTGAGACGCACGCACAGGTCACGTGCCTTTCACCGCGGCACTTCTCACCACATTGCCTCTTATCACCACATTGCCTCTTATCACCACATTGCCTCTTATCACCACATTGCCTCGTATCACCACATTGCCTCAGCCCGCCCTCGCCCCTTGGTTGCCCTGCACTCCCTCGTTTCTCCCACCCGCCTGATGCCCGTCATTGCCGAGCTCCCACCCCCGCCTTGCTGTCGCTTTGTGTGTCACGACCCCTCCACTCATGAACGCCCAGCCCCTCCACTCATGAACGCCCGGCCCCTCCACTCATGAACGCCTGGCCCCTCCACTCATGAACGCCCGGCCACTCCACTCATGAACGCCCGTCCCTCGTGCCACCACTCCGCACTGCCGCCACTATCACCCACACCAGGAGGTTGAGTTCCCCACTGCCAGCCTCGACTCCGTGCCAGGTCAGATGGGTGATTCTGCCATGATGCCACACGTGCCATGATGCTACACATGCCATGATGCCACACATGCCATGATGCTACACATGCCATGATGCCACACATGCCGTGATGCTACACATGCCGTGATGCTACACATGCCGTGATGCCACACATGCCGTGATGCTACACATGCCATGATGCCGCACATGCCATGATGCCACACATGCCATGATGCCACACATGCCGTGATGCTACACATGCCGTGATGCCACACGTGCCGTGATGCTACACATGCCATGATGCCGCACATGCCATGATGCTACACATGCCATGATGCCACACATGCCGTGATGCTACACATGCCGTGATGCTACACATGCCGTGATGCTACACATGCCGTGATGCTACACATGCCATGATGCCACACATGCCGTGATGCTACACATGCCATGATGCCGCACATGCCATGATGCTACACATGCCATGATGCCACACATGCCGTGATGCTACACATGCCGTGATGCTACACATGCCGTGATGCTACACATGCCCTGATGCTACACATGCCATGATGCCACAAATTCCATGATGCTACACATGCCATGATGCCGCACATGCCATGATGCTACACATGCCATGATGCCACACATGCGGTGATGCTACACATACCATGATGCTACACATGCCGTGATGCTACACATGCCCTGATGCTACACACGCCATAATGCCACACATGCCGTGATGCTACACATGCCGGGATGCTACACATGCCGTGATGCTACACATGCCATGATGCCGCACATGCCATGATGCCGCACATGCCATGATGCCGCACATGCCATGATGCCGCACATGCCATGATGCCCCACATGCCATGATGGAACAAATGCCAGTGGCAGCGCAGCATGTTCATGTGGTGTGAGGAGATCGTTCAGTGGGTTTGCCGTGCGCCCACCTCTGCCGTGCGCCCGCCTCTGCCGTGCGCCCACCTCTGCCGTGCGCCCGCCTCTGCTGTTTTGCGCCCGCCTCTGCTGTTTTGCGCCCGCCTCTGCTGTTTTGCGCCCGCCTCTGCTGTTTTGCGCCCACTCACCCCTTGCCGTCGGCAGGCGATGCGGAGGGCGGCATAGAGATGACGTCCAGCATGCGTCTGCTGCGCGAGTACTGCCTCATGTTCGCCCAGCGTGGCCCGCCGCCCTCCGCCGTGCGCCTCGTGAGTCACACCCCACCACGCTGCCCCCAATGCTGCCACGCTGTGTGGCTGCCTTTCCTTGTCCCTCCTCTCTTCCCTCTGTGTCCGCCCACCTCTCCTGAATGCAAACACGATTCCCTTTCCCCTCCTCCCCCTCCCCTCTCTCTTTGCCCTGCACCGCGCCCCTGCAGTTTTTCCCCGACGCCAACGAGCTGCCGGCAGCGCGGGACGTGTTTGAGGGCACGGCGTTCGCGCTGGACTGCCTGACCAAACCCACCGGCCTGGAGGACATCGGCTTCTCGCGCAAGCTGCCTCTGGCGGACCGTGTGGTCGCCTCCGACCGCCTCTTTGTCGCCGCGTACCCCTACTTCAACGTCAACGGTAACGCATGCTGCTGCGCATGTGCTGGACGATTTTGCTTGGCCAATTTTTGCCATGTGTTTGTGAGGCCTGGGGACTTGTTTCTCCCATTATTGCACCTCCCTGGCCAGTACCTATGCGTATCTTGTCGCTCTGCGACCACCCGTCTTCTGCTGCTATCTCTTCCACCTATTCTGCGTGCAGAGATGCTGGCGGTTGATGACTTGTACCGTGACGTGGCAAGCAAACAGGGGCAGCCAATCATTGTCTTCAATGGGGAGCTTGACCGAATCCGATCGGGATGTAAGTGGCTGACATGAGGATCACGAGGGCGGTGGCATGGCCTTGTTTGTGCCTTGTTCAATTCCGCCTCATAAACCTTCCATCCTTTCGATGTTTCATGTGTAAAGGTATGACTTTTGATGCCGGTTTGCCCTTCACACTGACTGGCAGATTACCCATCCTTCTTCTACCCCAAATTGGCTCAAGTCAATAAGAGCCTCCTCCCGCTATTTGAAGCTGTCTACTACATCCACAACTTCAAAGGACGGCTTGGAGGCAAGCTCTTCAGGTACGCCACAGACTCAGATGATTGTTTTGCCATGTGGCCAACGATGGTTTCCTTACTTGGTTTAATCCGTCCATGCAGGGTCTATCCGGGACCGTGGCAAGTACTGAGAGAGAGTGCAAATGGGCAGCTGATTTGCATCCACTCGCAAGAAAAGATGCCATCTTTGAAGGAAGTGGCACTTGAGATTCTTCCCAAGTAGTGCATGGATACAATGTGTTCATTATTTTTATTGGGCATATTTTATTGAAAGTTATATACGGATGAGGAAATGTACTTTTTGCCCCTTCTGTACCCGAATCTAGAAACCTCTTCACGAGCCAAACCCTGAGCTGCCAGCATGGACGGTCCACGATTGTTGGGGGACAACGATCGAACGCCTCTCAGCAGGTCCCTCGGTTGTATTTACTTCCTGCTTCTCTTTCTTTCAGCTCTTTTCCGTAGGTGTTGCAAGCACGCAGCCATGGCGTCCAAGCGAGGCAAGCCCGCCCACACCCCCCCGTCCTTCCCTCTCAGCCATCATCCCTTTGTCTGTCTTACTAGCGGCCCTATGGTTCGTTTCGTCATGGCTACTTTTTTGCGCCATCCGGTATTGGTTTACCCGTAGAGGTTTTTAATGCGGTGCCCTTAGTTTCTTGCGGATTAAGGCCAGAAGCATGGTTGTTCGTGTCGAGGCCTCAAGCGCAGCGGCTCGTTGTGTTAATGTTGCGTGGCAGGTGGAACGACGACGGGAGCCAAGTTTCGAGTGACGCTGGGTCTGCCGGTGGGCGCGGTGCTGAACTGCGCCGACAACACGGGCGCCAAGAACCTGTTCATCATGTCGGTGTGCGGCATCAAGGGCCGCCTCAATCGCCTGCCGTCCGGCGCCGTCGGCGACATGGTGATGGCGACCGTCAAGAAGGGCAAGCCCGACCTCCGTAAAAAGGGTGAGCACCCAACGGCAACGGGCTCAAGTGGCCGATTGGGGTGATATGCCATTCTAGGGTTTTGAGGTGTTGGGACGATCAGTGGCAGATGCGTGAGTTGATTGGCGCCTTCTCTCGCTAGGGTTTATGCTCCAGCGTGTTGAGCACCTTGAGGGAACTGCGCACCTCGTCGTCCCTGTGTGTTTGCTGCCTGGGTTGTCGAGGCTCGCCTCGGTCGTGCGTCGTGCGGCCATCCGTCCGTCCAGTCATCCCTGCCATCCGTCCGTCCAGTCATCCCTGCCATCCGTCCGTCCATTCATCCCTGCCATCCCGCTGCCTTTCCCCCCATCCTCACTTGCACCCGTCCCCGCGCGCTGCAGTGCTACCGGCGGTGATCGTGCGGCAGCGCAAGCCGTGGCGCAGAAAAGACGGCGTGTTCATGTACTTCGAAGGTCAGCAGGGGCTAGCAGGGTCAAGGAGGGCCAAGTAGGGCCAAGTAGGGCCGAGTAGGGCCGAGTAGGAGTATACCGCCTGGTTTGATTGCGGCTGCTTCAAACTGCGCGGTAATGGCGCGGAGAGCGTGGATTTGGTTTGGCAGCGCGAGATCTGTCAGCATTTCACCTTTCAGCATTTCACCTTTCCGTGCCACTCGTTGCTCCTCCTGCTCGCCCCCATGCCATGGCCTGCCTCACCCCTTGCTCACCTGGCCTGCCTCACCCGTTGCTCACATGGCCACTGCCGCGTTGCCGTGCCGTGGTGCTGTGGTGTCGTGGTGCCGTGGTGCTGTGGTGTCGTGGTGCCTTGGTGCTGTGGTGCAGACAATGCGGGAGTCATCGTCAACCCGAAAGGAGAAATGAAAGGTCAGTCCGCGCTCCTACGCTGTTATGGTAAAGCGCCTTCTCAATAGCCGCGCATTGCCTCTAGTTTCCGTGTTGCTGGTCGTCTCTCACGAACCACCCTCATTAACATTCCCGCGTGCGTGCGATGCTGTGTTCTGTGCGCGCGTGCGGCGTGGCAGGGTCGGCCATCACGGGGCCGGTGGCGAAGGAGTGCGCGGATCTGTGGCCGCGTGTGGCCAGCGCTGCCAACTCCATCGTCTAGCCGCCCTCTGGTCCGTCGCCCCGCCTCCTCCCCGCACTGCACCACCCGCACTCTTCCCCTTTCCCCTCCCTTTCACCCTCCTGCTCCCTCCACCACCTTGTTTCTCTTCCTCCCTCCCCCCTCCCTCCCCTTCCCTCCCCCACCCACTTCCTCCCCTCCCCCTCTTCTCCCCGCCCCTTTCCTCCCCTCTCCTCCCCCCCTCTCTTCCGCCGATCTCTCTCTCATGCGTCCATCCTGGCTGCTGTATTGAATGCCCGCTGCTGCTTTCTTGGCCCGGGCGCCGCTCATGCCAGCCTGACGTTGCGTGATGCGTGTTTCGCAGACTCCGCGAGGGCAGCGGCAGTGAAGGGCGACAGGAGAGGCAAGGGGCGGCAGGGCTTGTCAGTGGCAGTGGCAGTGGCAGTGGCGGCAGCATTGTGTGCGGGGCTTGTTGTGATGGGAATGTGATGCAGGCGGACAGGCAGAGCAATGTCAATGGCCATAGCAATGCAATTCAATGCACCAAGATGTTGTGCCCCGTGTCACTTGCGCTTTGCTATCAACGTTTGGGATTTCCAGCCCATGATTCACTGGTTGAAAGAAAGTTGAATAGGTTCAAATTTTGTAGCAACGATTGCTTGTCTACCATGGCGCAGTGGAGGCTCGTTCCCAGCAAGGTCGGAGGATTCGGTGCAGAACAACTGCCAGTGTGCGTCGGGCGTCGGACATGCGCCACGAGCGGAAACTGTCTTGCACCCTCGACTCGACACCTGCACGTTACGTCATACGCATGAGGCTCCCACGCGCACATCCACCGCCGTTGCTAGCACCACCCAGCTCCGCGTGCCGCCATCCGCGCGACCCCGCATCTCTGTCGCCCGCATGGCCACTCCACGCGTCGCCGCGTTCCCCCCGCCCGCGACACGAGTCCGCCTCACACCGCTCGTGCTGCGCGCGCTTCTCATGTGCCTCGTCTGCCTCGTCCCTGCCGCTCCCGCCGCACCCATCTCGTCGCCCCCTCCCTCCTCTCCGTCGCAGCCGTCGCCCACTGCCGCTCGTCGTCGCCTGCGACAATCGCCCGATCCCCTGTCGCTGGCTGTCGCCTCGTCGCCCCTGGCAGATTGGGCGGCAGGCGATGGGCGGGAGGGTGACACATGGCGCGATTTGAGTGGCGAGTTTGATGAGGCGGAGGACGAGGGTGGTGAGGGGAGCAGCCGACGGGGGAGGGAAGGCGGGGGGGAGCAGACGCAGGGGCAAGGGGGGGAGCAAGCGCAGGGGAAGAGGCAAGAGGCAGGTGTGGGGGGGACGGAGGGGCTGGGGAGTGCGGTTGAGGGGGGGGCAGGCGAGGCAGCAGGGACGGGGGGGCGGCCGGCCGTGCACGGCACGAGTGACGGGCGCGATGGCGGGGCGGGTGGGAGGCAGCAGTGGGCGCAAGCAGCAGGAGGGGCGAGGGCGGGGATGCGGTCAAGGGAGCCGGCAGACGCGGAGGGGAGGGCGTGGCGGGTGGAGGAGGGGTGGAGGGAGTGGGACCGACTGGTTGGGTGCGAGCGCTTCCGAGCCAAACACGCAGGTCCGGTAGGTGGCAGGGCGAGCAGCAACGTGATGGTGGGCTGATTTGCCATGCGCTGCCTCTCACCCTCCTGTGCGCACATGCACTTGCACTTGCAGGTCGCAGCAGCAGCAGCAGCAGCAGCTTCCAGGGCGCTGAGGCGAGTGACTGCTCGCTGCTGAAGCTGCCCCACGTCACTGTGCAGGTGCGCCCCACATCACTGTGCAGGTGCGCCCCACGTCACTGTGCAGGTGCGCCCCACGTCACTGTGCAGGTGCGCCCTCCACCCTCTGTGTGCCGCATGTGGCATCGCTTTCTGCTTCATCTCTCGTATGCACTGCTGCCGCTGCTGCCGCAGCGGCACCTGTACCGCGATCTGTTGTTCACAAGGTGCATCCATTATAGTGCAGTGCATCTGTTCGCATTGTCACAGGCGTCCTTCCGAAATCCCGTGTGTCGGTGTGTTCCCAACCGTCCCCTGGCCGCCCTGCGTGGCAGATCATGGCGTCCTCCTCGCTGCCCGAGTGGCTCGAGGGCTTCTTCACCTGCCCGTGCGGGCTCACGTGCACGCTGTCGCGCAGTGAGGTGCTGGCGGCGCGCCCCGACGCCATGCTGTACGAGGGGTCGGTGCCCGTGGGGCAGCGCGTGCAGGGTGAGCCGCTGCTGGTGCAGGTGGCCCTGGAGGAGGGGGGCACGGCGGGGGCGGAGGAGAGGGGCGTGGATGTGGTGGTGGGGTATGGGCCGGGTGCGCACGTGCAGTGCTCGTACGCTGGCAACCTGCTGCTCGCCGACCACAACCGCCTCATGGCCCCCACCAAGAACCCCGTGCGTGCCATGGCACCATGCTGCACCGCCCTGCATTGCATTGCATCACACAGCTCTGTTCTTTCTGCCGTATCCCACTGCTGCTCCATGGTGTAGGAGAAGAGATGGGTACGAGACACTCCGGCATCCCGTGCCCCACCAACATCCCCCCCAGAACCGGACCATCTTCCATGCGTCCTCGCGCTACTCCCCCTGGCGGGCGTCCGCCGCCCCTGTGCTGCTGGCCCACCCCCTCACGCACCGCTTCGGCCTGCAGGCGCCCCTCTGGCTGCGCCTCTCCTCGCGCCGCGCCTTCCCCCACTGCCAGTACACGCCGGGGCAGGGGGGGGGGGAGGCGCAGGGGGCAGGGGGAAGGGGGCAGGCACAGGTGCATGGGCAGAGAGGGGGGATGGGCGTGGGCGTGGAATCGTTGGGTGGGGTTGTTGCAGGGGGGATAGGGGCTGTGGGGAAGGGGAGAGGGGAAGGTGGACGGGGGCAAGGGCAGGGAGGGAGAAAGGAGGGGCAGGGGGAGAAAAGGGAGGGAGGAACGGGGGGAGAGGGGGGCACAGGGAAGGAGGATGAGACGGTGGGGTGGACGGCAAGGGACCGAGAAATGGCAGGCGTGGACGAGGGCGGGGGAGATGGGGGAGGGGGGGGGGCGCGGGGGGGCCCGTACAGGGGGTGGTGGGGCGACCTAGCGTGCGTGCAGTCGCACTTCCTTTTCTCCCTGGCCTTGGAACGCCAGCCCCACCCCGCCTATGTGACCGAGAAGTTCTTCCTGCCCCTGCTCGCAGGTGAGCGCCCTCACCGCCCCCTCACCGCCCTCCTTGCACCGCTTCCCTGCACACCCCTCCCCCATCTCGCCTGCTTCTTTCCTCTCCCCTTGTGTGCCCCTGCTCGTGCTGCTCCCTGGCTGCACATGCTGCATGCTGAACCCACCATCCATCCCACACCCACCCCCCCCAGGCAGTGTGCCCATCTACTACGGCGCCCCGGATGTGAGTGCGTTTGCCCCCCCGGACTCGTTCATCGACGGGCGGGCGGAGAGCGAGGAGAGCATCTTGCGGCGCGTGCAGGCGATGCGCTCCAACGCCACGGCGTACCTGGGCTACCATGCCTGGCGCAGGTGCGTACCTGGGCTACCATGCCTGGCGCAGGTGCATACCTGGGCTACCATGCCTGGCACAGGTGAGGGCGCCAGTGCTGCTGCCAGCACCTCTGCTGCGTGTGTGTGCCTCTGGACTGGCTTTCAGCTCCTTGCCGTTCGCTGCCCTGGGGCACTCCTGATTGCTGCCCTGGGCCACTCCTGACTGCTGCCCTGGGGCACTCCTGACTGCTGCCCTGGGGCACTCCTGACTGCTGCCCTGGGGCAATCCTGACTGCTGCCCTGGGCCACTCCTGACTGCTGCCCTGGGGCACTCCTGACTGCTGCCCTGGGGCACTCCTGACTGCTGCCCTGCGACACTCCTGACTGCTGCCTAACCCGCACTGGCCACCCTTTCCCCCCCTCTCACTTTGTTCAGGTGCGGGGTGCTGGGGGGGCTGCAGCACGCCCTGCGTGTGGGCGTGGACTCGCTGCCGTGCCGCCTATGCCACCGCATCAGCGCCATGGGCGGCAGGGCGCACGTGCCACACCCACGCAGCGACGAGGACGCTGCTGCTGCTGGTGATGGTGGCATGTCCGCAGCATTCCCTGCCGACGCTGGCTTGTCGGCCATTTGACCTGCGCCCTCTGTGGAAGCACGCGGGACGAGAGATGGTCTGTTTTCAAGCGACTGTGAAATGGCTCAACTGATTCTCATCCCACAGCATGGCACATGTTATGGCTCATTATATTCACGAATCCCCAATGCACATGCATGCAGTCTCTAAGGGCGTGGTCCTACAACCCCCTGCCAGAACTGCGTTGTTGCAACCAGGATCGTATCAAACATGTGAACCGCCCTGTACCACACGAGTGTGACACCAGGTGGGGCTAGACAGCAGGTGTAGGAATACGCCCTAAGCCACAGTGGACATGCTGTGTGACGCATGGCATGGCGAGGTAAGCATACAGGAAGCTGTACTGCAACCCCCGGCGGGCATGCAGACAGGTTGCAACCTTGCAGGCGTTTCATCGCCACTGGTCGCCCCCCTGCTGCACCTCACTCAGGTACACCGGCTCAGGTAGGGGGGTGTCCTCACCCCGGCCTCTGCGCCCTGCCCCGTGCGAATTGCTGCTGCTGCTGCTGCTGCTGCTGCTGCTGTCGCGCTTGCTGTGTGCTGTGCTGCCAGCAATACTGTGAGTCGAGGTGGGATGAGGTGGATGAGAGGGAGGGGCAGGGGAGGGGGAGGAGGGAGGATGTGGTAGGGAGGAGTTGAGGCGGGGGGAGTTGAGGCGGGGGGAGGAGAGGTGGAAGGCGAGGGGCGGTTGGAAAGCCCAGAAGGCGAGGCGGGGGTGGCGCCACCAGAGGGAGTCGAGGGGGTCGTCCACGTGGAAGCCCCTGACCAGCTGGGCGGCCCCGCGCTGGGAGATGATGTAGGCGAAGGAGCACCACGAGAGCGCGTCCAACGCGATGTGTGGGGCCAGCAGCGGTAGGAAGTGGCGCGGCACCACACCCATGTGCCCCACAAATAGGATGTCCGGTGGTGACTCTGGGCTATGCTGACGTGTCAACAGCTCATTGGCCTCTGCGATATTCCGCTCGAAGTCAGCCCGGAAGGTGTCTGTGGTGAAGGTGACGTCATCCTCCAGAATGATGGCGTAGGGCAGCTGGCGCCTGAGCACCTCCAGCCACAGCAGGTAGTGCGACAGCGCGCACGCCACCTCCCCCCGTGTCATCTTCTCGCGCCGCCTCTCCGCCAGCTTGTGCCACTTGATGGACCGCCGCGTCACCGACGCGTGCCCCCCGTCCACCAGCCGCCCAAACACCTCCAGGTTCCTCTCCAACGCCCCCTCCCTCCCCTCGTCCCCTCCCCCCCCGCCCTCCCCCTTCCCCCCGTCCACGCCATGCGCCACCACCACGTCTCCAAAGCCCTGCTGCTGCAGCAGGGGCAGCACGCGCTGCAGGCGGCGGGGGGAGCGGCGCAGGGAGAGCAGGAAGGCGGGCCACAGGGGTAGCGAGGGGGGCAGGGCGGGCAGCAGGACGGCAGGGGGAGGGGGGTGCACGTGAGGCAGCAGGTGCGGCAGGTGGTGCTTGAGCAGGCACTGCGCGGGGGAGAGCAGCGCGCAGAAGGCGGGGGAGGAGCGTGGGATGGACGGCAGCGGCCCGTGGGGCGCAGGGCGGTGCAGGGGCCAGGTGGCGTGCAGGGCGGCGCCGGTTAAGGCGGGGTGGCCGGGCAGAGCGAGCAGGATGGTGGCGCGGCACGCAGGGGTGAGCGGCGTGGAGGCGGGCAGCGAGAGCGCGGGGGGGGGCGTGCGGCAGGGCTTGGGCGAGCAGGCGAAGATGGTGGTGGCGAAGAGAGGGGGCTCCGCCGCCAGCACGGTCAGGGCGGGGATGGCGCCCATGCTCTCTGACAGAGGGCTGCGTGCACGCGGAGGGGGGCAGCACGGCAGCACGGCAGGAGGGCAGCAGGGCAGGAGGGGGGCGAGGGGCAGGGCAAGGGGGCATGCATGGGGAGGCGGGCAGGAATGGAATGGGTGAGAATGAATGGCAGAGAAGAGGTGGTGCAGGGCTTGATGACGAAGATGGTCGGTTTGTGATGGTGCGTGCTGCCTCACACACGTGCAAGCAAGCTGGCTGCCAGCCAAAACAGAGCCTAGCATGGGAGGGGGGAGCAGCAGGGGGTGCAGAGTGCAGCAAGGGGTGTACCGGTTGAATCTGGTGAGGGCCAGCAGGCGCTTGGCCCCGGCATAGGAGACGAGGTAGGCGTGGGAGGCTTCACTGGGCTGCGCGCGCACGATGCCAGGCGACAGCTGCTGCTCCGCGTACGGCGCCAAGGCATGGCGGGCGAGCAGCAGCACGTGGAAGAAGAAGCGGTCGGCGCGCTGCAGGATGAGCAGGTTGAGCTCCCACAGCAGCTGGGGGGGGGTCAGAAGGGGCAGGCGGCAGCAATGGGATGGGGACGAGCAACGTGGGGGAGTGGGGGAGCCAAGGGGAAAGGCAGAACAGACAAGGCGACTAGCAACTCAGCATGAGGCGCATGCTCCCCCCTCCCGTTGCCCCCTGTCTCCCCCCCCCCCACAGCACCCCACCGTCTCAAGGCGGCGCTGCCAGTCAGCGACGCCCTCTGCTCGGTTGACGGCGTCCTCCTCCAGCACCAGCGCGAACGGCAGCCGCAACGCCACCACGCGCGCCCACACCTCTGCGTGCGCCACACTGTACCGCACCCACGCCCGCAGCCCCACTGCTGCGCTGCCTCCCAGGGGTGCTGCTCGGTACAGAGGCGCGTACCTGGGGACAACAGGGGGGATGGGGGAGAACACGGGGCAAGTGATGGTGGAAGGGCAGGGAAACAGCTGGGAGGCGAAGAGGTAGGGAGAGCAAGCAGAGTGGAGCGCAAGGAGACATGCCAAGGGGGTTGTGGAAGGCAGTGCGGAATGAGCCAGAACAAGGGCTACCCATGTCTCACGTTGAACCCTCCCCCCTCCCCCCCTGCCTGGAATGCCATGTCACCCACCTGTGCCCGCGCCTCATCCAGAGGGCAGCACGCACCTGTGCGCGTGGGCGAGGGTGACGCTGCGCGGCATGAGCGCCAGTGTGTACGCCAGCCCCACCGACTGCAGCCGCGCATCCAACTCCTGGCGCCGCCACGGGCGCAGCGCAGCAGGGGGTGGGTGGAGACGGGAGAGCAGAGAGGGGCGAAAGGTGAGGGAGCAGAGACAGGGGCGCGGGGAGAAGGTGAGAGGGCATGAGAGGAGGCGAGGCGCATACTCGCAGGAGGGGGCTGAGGCCGAGGCCGGGCGCGGCGGCGGAGATGAGGAGGACGGCGTTGCTGCGCCACTCGTCGCAACGCAGCGGCAGCCCTGTGTCTCGCCGCACCGCCGGGTGCAGTGCCACCCGCCGCACGCGCCACTGCGCGTGGCCATGCGGCGCTGCCTGTTGCCCGGCGTGAGCACGTGCAGAGGAGGTGCTGTTGCCCCCGGTGCTGCCCACACGCACGCCTGCCCCACGCCTCCCCACCACCTTCACTGCCCTCCCGCCCATCCCCCCCACCCCTGCCATCCGCTCACACACACTCGCCCCCCCCTCTGCCCCTAGCCGTGCCTCCCCCCGTGCCCCCATCCCCTGCCCCAGCGGCAGCACCTCCATGTCTGCCAGCCGCCCCACTGCATGCATCCCCACCCCCTCCCCCTCCCCCCCCTCTCCGCGCCCCTCCACCTGCTGAACCACACCCCCTTGTGGCACCGCCTCCTGCCCTTCCCCCCTGCGATCACTGCGCCCAGAGCTCTCCCCGCCCTCCCTGCGGGGCAGCTCGTCCGCCCCACGCCCGCCCCTCTCCGTCACTGCGTGCGCCCTCGCGCTCTCCGCCACGCCATCGCCACCCGCCCCGCCGTCCCTCGTGCCCATACCGCCAGATTGCCTTTCGTCCGAGCCAGCCCCCCTTCCCCACCATCCCGCCCGCCACACCATGCCTCCGCCTGCCCCTTTGCTGTTCCTCGTATTTCTCGATCCCCCTCCCCCCACTCTCTTTGCGCTTCTCGTCCACTCCCACCTCCCCCCAATCCGTTTACGCGCGCACTCTCGTCTGCGGAAAACTCGAGGAAGCTTCCTCCATTCCACTTGCGCCTCACATCGCTGCGCGCGCGCAGCCCCTGCAGCCGCCGTCCGATGCCCCCTTGCTCGCCTGCGACAGCCACGCCGGCACGTGGGTGGGCGGCAGCGGCGATGGCGGCGAGGGGGGCAGCGGGATGGGGAGGGGCGAGGGGGAGCGGCGGAGGGATGGGGGGTGGGGGGAGGCGGGCGAGGAGCGGGGCGAAAGCGAGCAGCGCGAGGAGGGCTGCGACGGGGCGAGGCAGGAAGCGAGGGGGGTGCGAGGAGGAGAGAGGGTGGGGGGCGGACGGCATGATGGCGAGCGACGGCAAGGCACCCCGCAGCGATATCAGGTCAGGACGGATCACACGGCGGAACAACATGCGACGGCTGGTTCACTATATTAGCTGGCTCGCAAATGTGGTTTGCAGGCTCTCTAGGGAGCTTGGATGTATGGTGCTGGCCCCACATGTAGGGAGCCTTGCTAACATCGAGTACAGACAGCCCTAATTTTGGAAGTCCAGGCTCGGCCCGAAATTTCAGGTTCGAACTACGTTCGAGACCCCAAGCCTACAGCGGCGTTGCATCCGACACTTCCGAGTCACGAGGTGCTCCATGTTAGAAAGAGAGGATGAACTAGAATGGGAGATTACAAGGGAATATAACCTAGAAGCTGTACCCTCTAAGACACAAACCTATACAGTCTATACAAACATAACAATATATGTTTGACACACCCCCTAGACTGTATAGGAGCAGTTCCTAACGAGAGAACGAGCAGCTCAGGGTGGCACTACTAGTCCGACCTCTGAGGCAAGGGTCTAAAGACCAGTCAAACGAGTACAGACCAAGTCAAAAGCAAAACCAGGGCGGCACTACTAGTCCAGCCACTGGAAGAGGCCACAAGGCAAGTCAGGATAAAATATATAAAAGGTCTGTACACAGTCAAGGCCCTAGCAAGTGAGAGGCTACAGGAACAAGACCTAGCTGTACACAGTGCCGCTGATGATCTTTAGGCGCAAGCGCCTTCGTAAAGATATCAGCTGTGTTGGCACCGGAGGCCAAGTGTACTACGCAAGTCTGGCGGCGCTACTCTAGCTCATGCAGGAGGAAGTACCGCAGCTGGATGTGCTTCGCTCTGCCCTCGAGTCGAGGCTCCTGACACAGGAGGATCATGACCCTGTTGTCAGCGTACAGGACCGGGGCAGAGCTAGGCCGCTCACCTAAGTCAGTGAGCAAGAAGGTCAGCCAGCGGAGCTCCTGTGCCGCCATGGCACCGGCGTAGATCTCTGCCTCGCAGCTGGACTGGGCAACGGACGAGGAGCGAGTAGCTCTCCACGAGACAGCACCCGAACCAAGGCTAAAGCAGTAGCCCTGCGAGGACGTAAGGGTCTCGGCGTCGTCTGCCCACGAAGCGTCTGTGTGCCCAGTAAGGACCACTGGCCTGCGCCCTCCTAGCACTAACCCCATGCCCGATGTACTTGCTAGATAACGCAAAACCCTCTTAGCGGCAGACTAGTGCTGAGGTCGGTGTCTGCCTGTAGCCACAAAGCGAGCCAAGATACTGAGATGGTATGAGAGATCTGAGCAAGTGCAAGTCATCAGGTACATGAGGCAACCCACCAGCTCTGCGTAAGGGCCACTGGGCTCTACTGACTCCTCAGGAACTGGAGCTGAGAGCCTGTGGTCTACACGCAAAGGGGTGGGCTGTGCAGAGGAGAACTGAAGGCCGAACCTCTGAAGGACCTGGCGCACCAAGTGTGACTGAGTGAGGGTGATGGTGCGCGCTGCTCTGTCCCTGGAGATCTGCAAGCCAAGGTAGTGGCACAGTTCTCCAAGGTCAGTGCAGGTGTGTCTCTTCAGCAGCTCTGCCTTCACCGAGGCTAGTGCGTCCCTGTCTGCAGTGGCGAAGACCAGGTCGTCTACGTAAACAAGGATGTAGAACAGAGTCTGGCCAGCACAAACGAAGAGCGAGGGGTCTGCAGAGGACGGAAAGAATTGCAGGTCAGCAAGGGTAGCACGCAGCGTGTCGTGCCACTTACGGGGAGCTTGCTGCAGGCCGTAGATGGGGCGCCGCAGGGGCCACTGGGACCCAGAAGGGAAGGTACCAGTGAAAACCTGACGGCGGCGCAGGTAGACCTGCTCGTGTAGACTGCCCTAAAGAAAAGCAGTGGAGAAGTCGAGGGAGTGAAGCTCGTAGTCACGCTGAGCTGCTACGTGTAGCAGCACCCGAAGAGTAGTCATCTTCGGGGTCGGAGCGAAGGTCGGAAAGAAGTCCACCCCCTCACGCTGACTGAAGCCTCTAGCCACGTAGCGCGCCTTGAACACAGGCGGCTCTCCAGGAGGGCGCTTCACCTTGAAGAGCCAGCGGACATCGACTACGTTCACCCCAGGTGGGGGAACTGTGTCGACGTAGGTGCCGGTGGATCTCCAAGATGCCATCTCCTGCTCCATGGCAGCTATCCACTGAGAGGCCCAAGGTCCCGAGACCGCCTCAGTGTAAGTGCGAGGGGTCGGGATGTCGAAAGCGTCTGGGTCACCCTCAGGGACTAGCAGCATGGAACAGAGATCGGGAGCAGCATCGGACAGGAAAGCAAGCTCGTACTGGCGGTCCTCCAAGTCGTCACTGCCGAGGGCAGGAGCACCCCCAACAGACAGTGGACAGGCAGGGTCAGAGACCAGAGCGGTGGCGTAATCAAGGCGGTGGGTAGAGGCGAAGTCAGCGACAGCAGCGACAAGATCGTCAAGACGCAAAACCGGAATTGACGGGTCGGTAACGAGAGAGGCAAGGATCCGAGGAACAAGAGGACGAGCGGCACGAAGGTAGTCAGACAGAGGGGGAGACGCAACAACAAGGGAGGATGGAGGAGGCGACAGCAGGAGGGGAGGACGAGACGCGTGGGAACGGAGCAACATAGGGTGAGAGCGCGGGACAGGGGAGACAGGGCGAGCACGGGAGGGAGGGCGAGACCAGACGTGAGACGTAGGCGTCGGGTCAGGAGACAGAGGAGGGGACACAGGAGGGGAACGAGGGGGAAGACGAGCCGGAGACGAGTCCAGGGGAGGGATCACAGGGCCGTAGATAGGAAGAGGAGGGGACGGCAGGAGAGGAACAGACGCAGGGTCAGGGGCCGGAAGGCTGAGCAGGCGAAGGGCTGACATCGGCGGTGACTGCGGCTGCGGTGGCACAACACCGACACCGGGGCCGCAAGCTGCTCCACGGCTACCTCCGGAACACTCCAATCCTGCACCCCCAGAAGGAACACCCCTAGAGCCCAAAACCCCTCGAGCACCGGTACCACCCCCGGGCTCGCCGGGATAAGCCACGACAGGAACCCCAAGGACTAGTACTCACCCCAACGCCAGCACCCCTAGAGTCTACGAACTGCTGCTGCGACGACTGCGGCAACGACTGCGGCGACGGCAGCTGCAACGACGGCTGCGGCGGCGTCGGCAGCGGTGACGGCAGCTGCGACAGCGGTGTCGACGGCGGCTGCGGAGGCGGCGGAGGAGGAGACACCTGGGGAGGGACAGGCGACGAGGACTTTGCCGCAGGACCACCAGAGTCAGCAGACTCCTCGACCGAGACAACCGACGTGAGGGGGGTGACGTGGGACACACCAGACGGTGCAGGACGGGGAGGGGGAGGGGGAGGGGCAGGGGCCTCCGGGAAGGGGGAACAGGAAGAGGGGGGGAGTAACCGGGGGACTTTGGTGGGGGAAGCGGCGGTAGAAGGAGACGGACTCGTCAAAGGTGACGTCGCGGGAGTGAAAGAACCGGTGAGACTACGGGTGGTAGAAGTGCCAGTCGGACGAGTCTAGGGGGAAACCGAGGAAGACACAGGAGAGGCACAAACGTGAGCAAGTCCGTGCCAGAGGCACAAACGTGAGCAAGGCAGCCCCAGAAGTGGAACGCAGATGCGTCACCAGGAGACCTGGTTCAGAGGAGGGTCGGCGAAACCTGCCGCTGCTGAGGGTGCTGCCACAGGTTAAGCTGGTGAGCGGCGTAGCGAACGACGAATGGCCACAGAAAATGGGGTGCACTGGCATGGATCACGGAGGTACGAGCCATCTCCATGACCAAACCGATGCGTTGCTCAGCGACCCCATTCTGCTGCGGGGATTCCGGCAAGGTGAACGTCTGGGTGATGCTCTCCGCACGACAGAAATGACCAGGAACGCCGGAGGCAAACTTGCCGCCACGGTCAGAGTGGATACGCAAGAAAGGGAGACCACGGTGGACACGCGCAGAGACAAGCCACGGGATGAGAACATCAGGCACGTCGGCCTTCCGCTCCAGGGGAAAGACGGTGGTGTAGCGGGTGTAGTCATCGACAAGCATTAGGAAGTAGCGCTCTCGACGCGGCCCATGGACGGGGGCGGGGCCCCAGACGTCCATGTGCAGGGTCTGCAGCAGTGCGGTGGTAGGGGTGAATGAGGAGGAGTGAGGGGCACGGCGGAGCCGACCCTGGACACAGGGCGTGCACGGTGGTGTTGGGGAGGAGGGCAACTCGGGGAACGACCCTGGGAGACCTAGGACTAGACCGTGCTGTGACATGTGACGCAGACGCGGGAGGGCAGGGTGACCTAGACGGTGGTGCCACAGTAGTGTCGGGAGTGAGCGACCGACAGGAGCAGGCAGCAGCAATCTGGGTAGACGCAGACACCTGAGGGACATCCCAACCGGGGGGTCGCGGTGTCCAGTGTGAACAGTCCAGACACCGGGTCCCGGGGGAACGTGGTGAGGGGAGCACCAGTGGCGGCCTCGGTACAGACAGCGTTCCGCTCGTGACCAGGGAACGTAGTGGTGACGCCAAGGTCCTGGAGGCAGCCAACATCAACTAGGTTCCTGGAGAACGAGGGGATGTGCAGGCCCGTAAGAGAGCCCGAAGGAACCGCGAGACAGGGAAGGGTGGTGGAACTGTGGGCGACTATCTGCCGGAGGAACGGGCGCGACGGCACGAGGGGCCGGCTAGGAAGGGGCGCGACGGCTCAGGGGCCGGCTAGGACGGGCGCGACGGCGACGGGGGCCGGCTAGGACGGGCGTGACGGCTCAGGGGGGGGCCGGCTAGGACGGGCGCGACGGCGCTAGGGGCGCAAGGGGCCGGCTAGGGGCCTAGGGCGGAAGCGCGGGCGGGCTAGATGGACCTAACCTACTCATGATACCATGTTAGAAAGAGAGGATGAACTAGAATGGGAGATTACAAGGGAATATAACCTAGAAGATGTACCCTCTAAGACACAAACCTATACAGTCTATACAAACATTACAAATATGTTTGACACTCCAAACCACCGCGCATGTGTTTCGTGGCCTTCCTTGAGGTCTTTTTCTAGGCTAGCTGTGCTTGTATTTAGCCCTGTGCTTCATTTGTACTCGACACACTCTAATCACGACCTCACTATTGCATTACTCGACTCGATTTCTATCTGGAGATTATCATAACATTTGGTATCAGAGCTACGTTCCTGGCCCATTTAGGCTTCCGTAGTGAGGTAGTTGTTAGAGGGACCTCGCACGTTAGGAGACAGGAGCTGTCCACCGGTCGTGCAGGGAATTCTTCAGTTCCACCGACTTTGTCGTGTGCGCTCCACATCTCTCCACGCCTGCAGG